ATTTGAGGTATCACTTGCAAGTGTAGCACGCTGAAGTCTAGAAAACACCTCAGCAAGAGATGGAAGTGTTGGACTGCTCATAATCTGTGCACGAAAAGGCTCATATGCTGATGATAAACCAGTAAGAAAACGGACAACATTAAAGTCCGCATGCTGTTGTTGCATACTGCGAACATCACCTGTAATGGGCTGATACATATTCAGCTCTTCATAGACTCCCATAACTTTAGAATAATACTCTTCTATACTTTGAGTACCTTGTTCAAGATTGAAGTACTGCTTACAGAGCTCATAAACACGAGTGATATTACCTGTCCCAGAATACAATTGCAGCAATCTGTCCCATATCTCCTTGACAGTAACCAAATAAAGTAGAGTTGATCTAATTTGGAGTTCAATACTGTTTATCATCATAGAGATGATCTGAGCATCTTCCTTTTCCCATGTATCAAAGGAGGCATCAGTTGCCTTGGGTTTCTCTTTAGTCAAATGAGAACCAAGACCTCTGCCTTTGAGGAAAATGGCAACAGATTTAGCCCACAATATGTAATTCTTCCCATTGAGTTTAACTGAAGTCATGGGAGAATTAAGACTGTTTGTGGGTGAAAGTAAATCTGAACTAGATGCTATGTTGAATCCAGCAAAACAGAGAAGAAAAACGGAAGGAAAAAAAAAAAAATAGATTCTGTATTCTGGCCGAACCTGGAAAACGGGTCGGATCTTGAACCGGGTCGGACCTGGACAACCGGGTCGGGTCTGGTCAACGAACCTGGTCAAACGGGTTGGACTGACCTGGACTATCCAGGTTTAGCAAACCAGGGTTGAAGTAGCTATAACCGTGTAGCCAAATAGAGGTCTTCTTCTTCACACTTTCACAGACGCCGGGGCATAACGCGGCGGCGACAACGGCGATCAAATCACAAGTAACGGCCGAATCAATAAGCAGCGATCGCTGCAACTTCCGGCCAACAGAGATGAACCTCACCTCTGCGAATCAAGATTACAGAGGTCGTCGAGCTCGCTGGCAACCAAAGAGAAGCTGCCGGCGACGACAAACACTGCAGAGACGACGACGAACACGGCAGAGACTACGACGAACAACTCCCAGATCTGACGACGAACAGGGAACCGACGGTAGAGATCACCAACACCACAACTGCAATTCAAATCTTATACAATAAGAACCCAATTACAGATTCTCACACCCATGATCGTACGCTCTGATACCATGTTCAAAGTTATATATATGAGAGAGAGAGAGAGAGAGAGAAGTTTCAGACTTGTATATTCATCATTCTAAAACCTAATAAAGTGTACAAGGCTTATATAAAGAGTACAAGTCTTACTTAACTACACAAGGGTCCCTATCAACTTTCTGTAATTACATAATGGCCCAACACTTATATATATATATATAAAACATTCTAACAACTCCTGAGCCATCTTTGCCACCTCTTCCCTTTGTATCTCCCGTGTTATCTCCCATTGCCATTACTCCTGATCCTGCCCGCTTTGTTACCCCGTTGCGGGTATATACTCGGCGGCCCCAGTTGCCTACTTTGTTTCCTCCGTCTTCTTCGAAGTCTTTGGACCCGACACCATCTGTTATGTCTGCTTCTTTACCTATTGCTTTACATAAAGGTTCTCAATCTTGTGTTACTGCACATCCCATTTCTAACTTTGTCTCATATAATAATGTATCATCGTCTTTATCCTTTTTTTTATCCAAATTGTTTGCTACCTTTGTTCCCAAGACTTTGCAGGATGCTCTTTCTAATTCAGCGCAAAGCCATGGTAGATGAAATGGATACCCTTCATCATAATGGGACACGGGATCTTGTTCCCTCACCTCCTGGTTTCTTCTATCCGAGTCCTTATTTCCATTGCTGCCAATTGTAACTGGTCGTTGTTCCACTTAGATGTGAAAAATGCCTTCTTACATGATGACTTAACTGAAGAAGTTTACATGGAGCAACCACCTGGGTTTGTTGCTTAGGGAGAGTATCATCACACTGTTTGTCACCTTAGAAAGGCCCTGTATGGATTGAAACAATCTCTAAGGGCTTGGGAAAATTCTGTGAGGCATTTTTAGCATTTGGTCTTAACAAATGCCAAACAGATCATTCGGTATTTCACCAGCGCATTAAAGCCGGTTTCATTTTTCTTGTGGTGTATGTAGATGATATTGTGATCACAGGTGATGATTCTGAAGGCATTGCTAAATTGAAATTGTTTCTGCAAAATTGGTTTCACACTAAAGACGTGGGTAAACTTAGATATTTTTTGGGTATTGAAGTTGCTAGATTTAAGAAACGAATAATTTTATCTTAAAGGAAATATGTGTAGGACTTATTAGAAGAAAAAGGTATGTCAGGCAGTGATGCTCCTATGGATCCAAGTATAAAAACTCTTATCAGATTAGGGCAATCTATTTAACGAGCCTGGTAGATATCGACATCTACTTGGGAAATTATTCTATCTCACTTACCGACCTGACATTTCATATGCAGTTAGTGTCATAAGTCGGTTCATGGGAGCTCCTAGAGTACCACACTGGAATGTTGTTATTCGGATTATCCGATATCTAAAGCAAGCTCCTGGTTCTGGGTTGCTGTATAAATGAAATGGTCATCTTAGGGTGGACGATTTTACAGTGATGACTGGGCTGGCTCTCCTTCAGATAATAGATCTATTACAGGCTACTGCACATTTATAGGAGGAAACCTTGTTACATGGAGAAGTAAAAAGCAAACGGTGATAGCTCGGTCTAGTGTTGAAGCTGAGTATAGGGCAATGACCCATACCACTAGTGAGTTAACACGGGTAAAACATTTTCTAGAGGAACTTGGATTGATAGTCAAAGCTCCTATTCCATTGTTCTGTGATAACCAAGTGGCTATTCACATTGCATCCAATCCCGTGTTCCATGAGAGGATCAAGCATATTGAAGTTGAGTGTCACTCATTCGAGAAAAAATATTAAGTGGGAACATCTCTACTCCATTTGTGAAGTCTAAAGATCAACTAGCTGATATATTTACAAAAATATTGAGTCATAATCGGTTAAGGACTATTTGTTCCAAGCTTATATTATATGATATATATTCTTCAGTTTGAGGGAGAGTGTTGAAAAATTTATGTATATATATATAGATATTGACAAGTATGTATATATAAAATGAGTAATTAGGTCTTTCTTATGTTTGTATATATTTTCCCTATTTCAATTTAGGGTAATATAATGAGAATACATATATTGTAGCCTCCGTCAGCCTCTCTCTCCTTCAGTTTCTACAGTAATAATCAAGGAATTATATAAATGAGTCATTATATGAAATTGTGGTAAAGGGTAATAAAACAAATATTAAGCAAGGTATCCACAGTGTTCAATAACCAATTTGAATTAATTGTAGGAAGATCCTTTTGGAAGTCATTTACTTAATGAACGTATTAATAGAAAATTGCGTTGGTAAACAAAAATATTTTTACATGGTTACATTTTAAACTACCAATGTACATAATCTGTTGGACCTTACATAGAAAATGGGTTCCTATAAAACTTAAAAAAAATTCTTCAACATATGTATGGATATACCAAGACTAGAATTAGTACTAATTAATGGTTTCCCATAAAAGTAGGATAACGCCAAGGGTAAGCGTTGGGTTTATAACAATTTACAATAGTTTTGAATGAAATAATAAAGAACACAAGAAGATATTCAATAGTGGAGAAATACATTAGAATGAAAAGGCTTAAAAATGATTAGGACTAAAATAGAATATATGGAATTTTAATTTAATAAAGTTTTACACCGTTACAATATAATGTTAAATATTCATGACCAAAGGATCATTCAAATTATCAATATTTAAGATCAATAATGTAAAAAGACAGGAAGATAGATGGTGTAACAAATAGAATTGGAACAAGTTAAACAAAAGGGAGGCATATTAGCGGTGTCTTGTGTAATACTACTAAAAATATCATTAAAATTAAAATTTCATAGGTCGGCGGACATTAGGCTAGTTAATTCGAATTGGGCATTAAATTCAAAACAAGAACAACAAATTCATGTAACTGAAATGAGTATGCTGAGAATTGTGACTAAAAGAGACAACCTGTGAGGGAGAAACTAAGAGTTACTTGTATTAGTGCAAAATAAGAGATTGCATGCTTAGATGGGGTGGACATATCCATTGTAAATTTGTAGATTCAAAAAGGAAGATTAATTTGCATGGAAGATAAGAGACGTAGACCGGGCGAACTTATATGGTTTGAGTAGTTAAAAATGAGTTTTAAAACTTATATATAATAGGAGAAATGACTTGTAATAGACAAAATGGTGAAAGAGAATTCATGGTTGAAGGCATTTAAGGGGGATGGGAAGGCTGAAGAGGACAGGATAGTTGACTTGAGGTTAATTCTACTCCCCCTTGTTCTTTTATTTTTTTATTTTGGGGAGAGACCCGGGGGGGGGGGGGGGGGGTTTGTCGGGTGATGGGTGTGGTCCAGTTCTCCATCCTTCCCCACTGACATCTGGTCTATGAGGTGAGGGATATCCAGCAATATTCTGCATTAAAATTTAAGGCTGTGATGTTTTTTTACATTCAAAGGATCCTGTGCACCCTTTAATGAGCTCGATGACCTTTGATCCCAAACATTGACCGTAGGTCCTTACCTACCCTCTGTACGAATGATCAAGAAAGTCAGGTTCGCTTGTGATGCAGAAAATATGAGTCATTTATGCACTCAACTAGATTCAGTTTCATCCATTGGCTTCTATTCAAGGGCAAAAGTGATGGGTTATTAAATTATGATGCTGCTATATTATTTATTGCCCTTTGTTATAGTGCAACTAATTTATTTGCAATTTCTTAATTTTTCATTTATTAGCAACTCCAAATAGTTGGGGGAATACTTTATTCTGTTGAATTTATTTTATTTTTATTAGTTTTCTCTCCATTGCCTTCTATATAATATTGTGTTCATCTAATTGTTAGTTTGGACAATGGCTGAGAAGTGATCGGGTGTAATGCTGAATGATGAAGCTATGACAACATGGTCATCCCAATGGGCTGCTGCTGAAGAAGGTAACCAGACTCTAATTCATCTGGTTATCAAAATGTTCTCAATTCCTTGTGTTCAATGCTCTTCTTGTTTTGTACTTAACAAAGATGTGTGTTGTCACACTACCTTGGCATTAAGATCTCTTATGCTTCACTTAGTGTGATGTTATCACTATCAATTAGCCAGCAGCCATAACTTTTATCCACGACGACTTTGAGGTACTGATTAAAAATGGAATTATGGAACTTCTGGTCACTCATACTCTATGGCTGTACATGTGAAATGAAGGATATTACTCTGTGATGGAACCACTTTGGAGATCAGGCCTTTGTCCAGCCAAGAATTCGAAGCACTGACCATATTAAATGTTGAACTGGAAGTTTATCAGAGCATGATGGTGACATTTGATTAATGCTCCTTGTTCATTCCAAGTTTTGTCATGTGATATGCATTCTCTCCCTTCAGGTCACAAATACAAGCATGTAAGGTTTATTGAAGTATTTGTTCTTGGCTTTATTTTAATGTTGATTTTCATTTATATTCAATTGCTTCAAATTTCTTGCATTACTTGGAAAGAAAACGAAAAGGAAACTTTTATGAGTGAGAGACAACCAAGTAAATGGTTGGCCGCGTTTAGTTAGAGGGAAGACAGTGGTTTGTGTTGGGTAATAATGTAATTACAAGTAGAGTTGGGGACAGATTGTAAATAAGCAATACGGTAAATATATTTATATATATATATATATATATATATATATATATATATATGTACGTTAATGTTTAGGGTTCTCTGTACGAAGACTTATCAATAAAAAAAAAAGGGTTCTCTGTACAGAGAGAATTCCCCCAAAAATATTTCGCCTCTCTCTCTCAACATGGTATCAAAGCCAAAGGTCTCGAGTTCAAACCTCATCGTCACCCTAATAAAAAAAATTGAAAAAGTACATGTTGGACCAAAAGAAGGCAACACGTGAGGGGGTGTGTTGAAGGATTTATATTTTTAAGTTATACCCTCTCTAATAGCTTAAACTTTTGGAGTAGATGGTATTTAACCGTATGAAAAATGGATAACTGTCGTTGAACCATCTCCTTTTGCATTGCCTAGTGGCTAGGGATGTTTGGGCCACGGTTTTTACTATTTTCAGTGTTCATTGGGCTGCGCCAGATTCCACCATGGACATTTCATTGCTTGGAGGGGTTGTAAAGTGGGTAGTCAAGTTCGAGATGCTTTTAGGGCTGCCCCCTTGTGTTTGTGGCGGGAGAGGCATAGGGTGGTATTGTAGATTTTGTGGATTTCTTGAGACTCTAGTGGGTTTATAGTTTACCCACTAGTGCACTTATCCTTTGGGCGCGCTTCCCTTTGAGCATTCCTTAATGAAACTTTTACTTGCCGAAAAAAAAAAAAAAAAAAAAAAAACACGCTGCATGTGATTGAGTTAGCTGTTGCTGCCTTTGCTCTCAAGACGTAATACCTTTATGGGAGGGTTCCCCCTACACCCCCACCAAATTGGAGATGTCAAGGATGGTTTTTTGATTAGATGATTTATTTGAGTGGGATACCCTAATATTTTCGTGGTTAGTGGCCACTTGCTTGTGGTACTCAGCATTGGCTTGGGCTGATCATGTGTGGGGTGTTGGTCATAGGTTAATTAAGAAGATCATAGAGAAGGATGACCTAATATTTTATCGGTTAGTGTTACATTTATTTGGTGGTACTCGAAGTAAATGGCTAAGGGTGGTCATTTGTGTTCATATGTACTTTGCAGTTAAGTTGACGCCAAGTATAAATGGCAAGTGTATTGAGGATTGCAAAATGTTGAAAATTTACATTGTACTTGTGAGTTTGGTTAGAATTGTTGGCGAAGAAAAGTTAATGCAAGCACGGATGTAGTTGCACACATGAAAATGAAGGCCTACACAGCTCTAGGCCGAACAAAGGCCCTACAGGATCCTGGATTCGTTTACAATTGTTGGCACAGAAAAAGTTAATGCAAGCATCACTATGGATACCCACATGAAACTGAAGACCTTCAAAGCTCTAGGGCAAACAAAAATCTCTGTAGGATCCTGGACAAACCATGATCCCATCTGCATGAGTGAACAAAAGGCCCAGTACAATGATATTCTAGGCTACTGACCACTGAACAATCACTAATCCATCCAGAGGTGGACTGAACTAAAATTAGACATCTACTACTTGGAGAATGTATCTCCCGTACAACCTTATGGATAGCGTGGCTTGACCAAGTAACCAATGGGTCAAATTCTGCTACATTCACTTCCAGGGCGGCTTGCTGCTATTATGAACTAGTAGAGCTAGGTCGGCTCAGGAGTCTATTCAGCAATTCAGTTTCCAACAGTGAAATTGGTTATCAAAGAAGGTGGTCAGAAAGTTCTTCAACAGCCGATATCACCTGGAGCTTGATTAAGTTGAATAGAAGCAGAGTTAATCAGAAGACAGTGTTAGGTAGCCAGCACATGGAAACGAATGGAGAGACTAAATACGTTAGAAAAGTAGTATAGGGCAATGTATCAGATATAAAAGGAAGATAGAAATCTTCATTTTGGGTGCACAGATCTTGCAACTGAAGGATAAGTTTTAATGGGCTTCAAATGTCTCATTCTACAACTTTTGCAACCCTCTACTTCTGGCTACTGTGCTATCAATAACCACTTTACATCATCATTCGAGACAAACATCAGTATCCACATCCAAGCTCCTGTTTCTCCTATGAATTGCATGTCTCATAGCACCACTTCAGCATAGAGATGGAGCTTATCCAACAGAGGGTTCCAACTCTTTTCGAAAAGTTGTAATATTAGTAATATAAATGAGGGATCCTTGAACCAGTGGATGGAATTATTCTTTTCCAATTGTTTCCTTCTTTTTTCCTTATTTAATGAACCGGAGGATGGAATTATTCTTTTCCATTTATTTCCTTCCTTTTTCCTTATTTAATGAACCAGAGGCTTCTTTTATCCATTATATTAAAGGAATAAATAATGATCTGTATCAGATCGGAGATAGGAACTTGACAAAACAAAACAGTTAACACTTTCAATCTAGTGGTTAGCATCGGTTGTTTGGGATCACAAATTTTGGAAGGCTATCTTAGTTAATTTTTAGCTATTTTGAAACATGATGATGCACTATGTTATACGCGATACATGAAAGATATGTTGTGTGACCATCGAGTGGTCCTATATTTTATGTATCTAGTGATCTTAATATTTACTAGAAAAAAAAAAAAGGAGGAATACAATAGAGGATTTTCTTTTAGCGAAATGAAAAATTAACTTTTCTTCCCCACAAGAATCCTGAAGCCATCTTGAAATATCTCATGAGTTGATCTAATGAATAATGATGATGGAATGTGTGCTGGACAGAATAACCCCTTTCTCTTTCCATTTTGGCTTATTTCTCATATTTTTCTTACTCGTTGCCATCATGTTTTGGAGACTTACTGATTTATTTCCCAAATATTTATCCCATACTTCTTGGAAGTTGGATTGCTTTTATGTGTAGACATCATTTCTTTGGTGTGGGTTCTTGCATATGATTAGATAGGGGAGGTGTTACACTTGAGCAGAAAAACAGTAAGGCATAGCAGATAGGGTAGAAATTAGGATCGAGTCAATCGACTCAATAGAAAGAATGGCAGTGTGACCCACTAGAGACGAACAGGATCAAAGCCTCATATGAATTAGAGTCAAGTATTCATTGAATTTAACTCCACTTCTTGGTCTCAAGTCTTTTGATTTTTAAGACTCGGTGAAAGTGTATTTATAGTCCAGGATGAATGAGGTGATGCCCACGCCGACATGATGGTCTGGGCTGGTCATTAATGCTTACCCTATATCGAACCAAAATGCCTCACGTGCACAGTGCTCTAGTACTGTCTAATGGAACAAAGTGAGGGAATGAACTTCCTCTCATACAAGCCTTTTCACGGTGCATTAGATACCTCCATGTACGAGAACCGTGATCCTACAGCGGTGATTTCATGTGCTTGATGTGCCTAGCTGAAGGACCGCCATGTCATTAGGGAATGTCATTTGTGAATTAAGAAGTGTCTTATCTTGGTGTCAGAATGAAGCATTCCAAACCAGTTGGGATATGCCATGTCCCAGCACCTCGAGGTGGGTTTTGTCAAATCAGCTATGTGCCATTGAGTATGCAATACCAGTATACTTCAATGAGGGCCTTGATAAAACAGCCATGCATTGACCTTATGTGCCACCTTCAAACTTAGGCCACACACTAATGGCATGTCTTTATAAAGTCCTTGAGAGTTCAAAAGAGATCCCATCTGAGGTGAGGTTCTGTGTAAGATGTGAATTCCTCATAACATTAACGACGGGAACGCATCGGAGAAACTGATGTACCAATTCGATCCGTGCTTGTGGAATTGGGGAGTCTGATTAGAATCGTCCGCCTTGCACCCACCCCCTGAGTATATGCTTCGATAACACAAGTGTTGACTAGAAACCTCTGGTAAAATGCCCTCCTGTAAGCAGATAAATTACATTGCATAATCCGTTTTAGGGATTGGCGATTTATCCACTCATGAAAATCAAATTGAGGTCTGTCTGCAACCAAGGTTATGGACCTGAATTTTTCTTCAAAAGCATAACTTCGATGAAGTTGCCTTCGTGAAAATGCCTTTGGCAGTTGCGGCCTTGAGCTGATGGTCCTGCACATCAATATTTGGCCAAAAACTTCTTAATATTAATGAGCACTTTGATGGTACATAATTAATACGAGGGTCTTGAAGCCCATAATTAGTAACTCTGATTGTTTTTTTGACTTGCTATATGAGTAATCTAGGGGTATGAATACTTTTCTGACATCTAATCCATAATTGTAACCATTTTAGGAAATTCATCATTGTACAAAATATATTTACTAGTGACCAAGGGCAAGACTGTTTCAGGATTGGTAGCTTTTGGACCCAGCCCACTATCTCAGTGGTTTTCAGAGGTCCTTAAAGTGCACGTCTGCATTATTTAGTGCAAACCCAGACATTGAAGTGGTTTTTGGAGGAGGATTTGAATTTGTAACACTCGATCCGTAAAAACCTACCAAGGAGGAATCAACTATCGGATAAAGAATGTATATATTGAAAACTCATAGCACTCAGCTTCTATACAGTTCATCAAATGACTGGCAAAACATCAGTAATTAGATTTCTTATTCTTTTACCATTCTTTGAGACGCACATTGAGGGATTACATTGAATCAAGACAGATTGTTTTCTTCTCTTTCTCTCTTTGGTAAGAGTCCTCACAAACCAAACCCCCCAACAAAACCCACCCCCCCCCCCCCCCCCCCCCCCCCCCCACACACACACACACACACATTTCAATTTGTGCACTCTTATCTTTCTCTCATTTGTGTAATGTTGACTGGTAATGTATATATGGAATTAGGTAAGGTTCTCCTGCTGCAACACAGATGAAAAGGATCAAACCTGACTTGTTTATGAAATCTCAATACTGTGAAACCACTAAAATATATGTTTCCATATGTATTATATACAAAATATGTCATTTTCTTAGATATGGCATACAACTGAGGGTCATATTTTATCAGCCAGGAGTAGACTCAGTAGAGACATCGAAATGAACATGTAAAATCTCTATCCAGGGAAGAAAGGAAAAGAAAGAAAAGAACTGTAGAACTGGTGTTTTGTGCTTTTAGTTGTATAGCCTTAGAGCTAACATACCATTTTGGTGCAAGATCATAAACTTAATGCTGTTGCTTTTTAGTTTGGACAAATCTGCATCACATCTCATTGTTATTTTTTAACCCAGTAAGATATGCTTGATTTGTTTTGCATTTATGGTTATCCTGAGGGGAAATCAGACATTATTCTTCAATCTGCGCTTTACAGATCATGTACATAATATATTTTGTATGTAACTTTTTGGTGTTGCCTTTGGTGGGGCTCTTGTTTGTAGATCTCTTTGTTATCCGAAATTATATGCTGTGCTTTTGGGGCGTTGCACTCTTGCCTTGGCTTTTCTTATTTTGAATCGGAACTTTCATATCATTGCTACATTTTTTTTCCTTACAAGTGCATGTAAGAAAGCATATATAACCTAAACCAATGCACTCGCCAATGTGGGAGGGGGACTGGGCAGGAAATTTACTACCTGTGAGGACATTATTCTCGATTGTTTCCTGCTGCAATATATACTGCTTCTTTCACAACTTGGAAGTGTTGTAATGTGAATTTTACTTGGTCTATTTCATATTTCTTAAGAAAATTCGGTTACTTTTTTGGTTGAAATTTCATGTCTCGTTTTTTTTTTGCCCCTGGGACTTTAATAAGATCGCTTATTTTTTTTGCGTTACAAATCGCTCATGTGGGATGTATTGTGGGATACAAACATGGATAAGAATGATTATAATGCAATTCTACAGGATGATGATATTGTCATTTTACCATTAATTCATGAGAGTCCCAACTCCTTTGCAGATGGAGGGGATCAGTGGTCGCATCTGGTCATGTGATACAGAATTATATGCATTTGCAGAGAAATTGTTCGTTCTCAACATTTGGTAGACTTTAAGATCATCTGATTGTGAAATATATGAACTCGTGTCAAGTTAACCTGCGTTACCCGGTGAGGCTCTAGCATTTAGAAAGGGAAAACTGATTTTTTCCAGAATATGTTGCTACAGTGAGTGGCTACTTCCGACTCCGAGTGGTAGGATGTTTGTTATCTTTTTCAGAACTATTATGTTGAAGGGTTGCATTCACTCGTTAATTTTTTTGTAAATATATTGTTGTGAATCATATTGCAATAATGTTTACTAATGTACACGTATTCCTAAAGGAAACTGTGTTTGCATGCATTTTTTTTTTATTATTATTATTTAATCCTGGCAAACTAGGGGAAGGGTGGGTGCTCTTCCAATTAGGTCACTGGATAATGTCATTTTGCATGCATTTCTAACAATAGAAGCTGAAAATGAGATTGATGGTTTTGGGGAAATTATCCAGTGGCCTAAGTGGAAGAGCATCCAACTCATATCAAAATATTGCTCTAGATTTGGGGAAATTGTCCAGTGACCTAATTGCATTTTTTAGGGTAAAATGCAAAAAACCCGACTGAATTATTGCGATACTTGCTATAAATCACCTAAACTATCAAAATTGCAAAAAACTTTTTGAACTATACAATTTGGTTACAGTTTATTCCATCCGGCGAACTGCTGGCCAAAATATGAATGTGATCTAGAAGCACGCACCATGATATATGAAAATATGGACAATATTGCCCTTATAAATTCAAGGGGTTGATTATGATGGGGGTGGGGGGCGGCGGAGTGGTGTTAGTGTTGGGTGAGGTAATCGTATTTTAATTTGTCCTTGAAATTACAACAGTGTATTAGTGTCAACGTGATTTTAGTAAGGGTATAATTGTCTTTTGATTTTTTGATCAACCCACCTATCGAATTTGGGTAAACTATAACAAAACAATAGTTAAAGGGATGTTTTTGTAGTTTAGAGAGTTTCTTGTAATACTCCAATAATTGAGGTTTTTTTTTTATTTTTAATGCGTTTTACATTTTATTTTTTATGTTTTTTGATGAGCAAGATAGTATCTGTTGTTTTGACTAAAGAAAGAGAATTTTAATTTAAAGATAATGTATATACACATACTTTTATCCTCTACAGTGATTTGATCATCTTCCAATTTATAGATACTATTGACGCTTGAAAAAGAAAGAGTAAAAAAAGGCATATCTACATTTTACTTATTCAATTAGTCGTCATGTGCGAGTCAAACGGAAGACCGACTACTTTGTTACATCTATCCACCTATGCCCCAAGTATTTAGCCCCAAAAAAGTCCCTCCACCTCTCATTCACAAACCCCATTGCCACCAAATTTAAAAACACACTTAATGACCATTTTAATATATTTATTTATCCAAGATATCAACATTCTTTGGATTAGACTAATCGTTTAGTCATTACAGTTTGTCTACAACTCAACGCCGTAATAATCTCTTGGACATCATAACATATCCACCAAATTTATTATGCAGAAATAGTCTCTCCGTGATCTTCCTTCATAGAACGGTGGTCTCCTATTAGCTCCACTATAATTTAGGATTCACTTTATAACTCTCTTTGATCTTTGATCAACACTATCTCTCTCCTCCTCTTTCAAAAATTTGCAGGAGGAATAGGACCATCCAAATTTACTTACAACCAAAATCATGGGTGGTTGTAAAACATGTTGTGAAATTTTCCTAGCCCTTCTTATACCACCTCTTGGTGTCGGCATTCGTTATGGCTGTAAAGTAAGATTATTTCTTATTCTAAATAACACACATATATAAATTCCAATGCTATTGGAGTGTTCTAATTGGGACAATATTGTGCATTTCGGTTATTTGAATTTTCAGACATATATGTATATATGTTGTGATGATTTATTAATTATTATTTTAAATATATTTGATATTTGCAGGTAGAGTTCTGGATTGCTTTCTTGCTGACAGCGTTGGGATATTTACCAGGCATCGTATATGCCCTTTATGTTTTGTGTTGTGTTTAGTAAAACAAGGGTATGTCTATCATATGCACAAGTTTGCTGTGGGTTCGTGTCTTCAATCATTAGATCAAGAGTGACATAATATACCGCGCTCACGAATTATTAATTATTGATACAGCACTCTCGATTTAATTATTGAGGGCACTGAGCATTGTAATGATAATTTTATAAAAAAAAAAAAAGAAAAAAGAAAAAAGAAAATTTCTTTTTTGTATGAGTTGTGTAAACATTTGATTGTATTTATGGTTTGTTGATCCATTGTTTTTTTTGTTATATTTTGTTTATTATACTTCTCTTGCTACATTGACAGAGCACTTTTCTTTTATTTAATTTTTGTATAGAATACTAACATGATTAAATTACGCACGTCAAATTTGCCAAATAAAAAAAAAGTTGTCATTCCCTTCGTTCTGATTGTCATTACAAATTTTCTTTCGGAGAATGGGATTCGGAAAAAGGAAAATGAATTAACATCGAAATTCCATTTATATGTTGGGGGAACTTAATTTCATTGCAAAGCTCGAACACTCGATCTCCAATACAAATTTTATAAATAATTCATTTTTGTCCAGGCAAAGATAACCTAATGGTCAATAGGCATATTATTTGCATTCAACATCATCACACAGAATTTTAAACTATGTGGCATGGCAATGATTGTAGATGCTTTCAAACACAAATGAACATAATTGGTAAAGAGAGAGATCTCTGAAAGAGTAAAGACAAAACTAAATGAGTAATGCTATTCAAAACCAATTTCTCCAGGCGATTTGTCTAGGAGACGAGTTTTTATCCATTCGATGTAGTAAATAAGCTCAAGTGCGGGTCCTATTCGCTACATCAAAAGAAAAAACACCCTTAATCGGATTAAGAATCATTTTCCAAACCAAATAACACAATAACAAAAATTTGCAGCTTGCCATTGATTGAGAATGCCTCTACCATCTTTTACCCATATCAATGATACCAAAATGCAACTACCAAGGGAAAAAAATGATAAAGAAAATGCAGTCATTCACGAACAAACCCATTAAGCAGAGCAACACGTACAGTCATGACATCTTCAGCTTATTCACCATCTACAGTTTTGCAGCTTGCACCACTTTGGTAAGATCAGCTTATTAAAAGGGGAGGCCGATATAGGACAACCAGTGACAACATCAACATTTTCCGTTAATGATTAGACAACCTGAGATCCTATAGAAATTCCTACAAATTTGGTGTGGTGTTTGACGGACCACTTCCAGCCCGTGAGATGTAACTGCTGCAATAAATTACGAGAAATGATTAAATAACAATTATAAAGTTCTGATCGGGGAAAGAGAAGGACTAAGCACTCGAGAGTTATTTAAGCACAATCACATAAAAAGTAAGTGTACAACACAGAAAAAGTAAGATTTGGTTCTTTTGAAATGATTTGATCATCTCTCTAGACGGCTAAATTTGTGTACTGTTGAAAAAGTAGCGAGTGGGTGTGAAGAATAGACAAGCAATATTCTATCTATCATTGTGCTTCTCCAATGTCCAAAATTATCAATCATATAAACAACGTTCAATGTTACATTTTAGATGGGGCTTGCGGCAATTGACAGACAACATATTTGATAAAATATAGTTACTGATCGAGAGAGAGTTGGAAAAAAAAAAAAAAAGAGCACATTGTGACCAATAAAGTTCACTAATCACTTATGAAGCCAAAGTGGAATACTTGCCAATGACAAATCTGGAATTATCTTTGTTCTCAGTAGATGTTTGCATGTTATACAAACCATGTTACGTAGCAATCAAAACTTTTAAGACTACACAATAAAACTAATAAAAAATAAGCCACCCACCAATGGGGGAAAACAACAGATAAGCTGTTAGGATAACGACAAATCGCATAAAGTAAATGAGAGCTGTCAATAAGCCAGACCGACTCATTTTAGACACAGCAAAAGGCTATAACAGCCTAGATAACATCATAACAACAGTATATCTACCTTCCAAAAAAAGTAAGAATTTTGTCCTGTCTACTGAAGCAGGACGCGCAGTGTTCTTTCACACTTTGAAATAAGTGATTATATAAACAAATCAAACTCCAAATTTAAGAACCAAAAAATAAATAAATAAAGGCCCAAATCGGCGATGCATCTATATTAATAAGACTGGTTCACAACTGCTGCAAAATAAAAAGATTGAGCCTTTAGTTGCACAAATTTATACTTGACTCAAGAAAAGAAAGTAAACAGAAATAGATTCACTAAAAGCCATAGACTTTGATTTTCAAGGGATACCAAACTAATATTTGCAAGGGAAAACAAGCAAAAAATAGGGTAGAGATCTAAAACTAAATAGCCTATGCCATTCAAGGAGTACAATTTTCAAGCCCCCACCAAAAGCTACAAAGACAAATATGTACAATAAGATAATTAACTTCTCTCCCAGTTAAAGCATTCCCTTTGGAGCACTTATGCAGTCTACTAAAACTATCCCAAATGAGAAGTCATAAATATAAAAGATTCCGCCCAGAGAGAAACTTTATACATCATGTAAACTTTTAAGTGCGAACGTAACACAACTATTTTTATGCTTACATTCAGTGAGTAACTTCATTTATGAATCATTAAAGATACAAAGCAACGAAAATTGAAAAGATAAAAGAATTAGAAAAACAGGCATTACTACGTGGAAAGATCATCCTAAGCTTCTGGAAATCATTTAACACCAACAACAATGCTATGTATGCTATCACATTCATAAGCACTTATGACTACCCTTTAAAATTAATCAAATTTGATGGTAAAAACTCTCTATTAAGCATTAGAAATTCAATTTGACAGTAGAAACTTTTTTTATGATAAAGCAACAGAAATCAGAAAGGTATAAAGTAAGGATACACTGATCAACAAACTCATAAAGAAAGGAAAAGAGCATGGCTGTATCATCATGGATCAGGTCCCATTTGAAGTTCAGCGTCTAACATAAAGTGGTGAGGAATACGCAGCTGCATGAAGAAAAAGAACGTTGTTGGCACTAGTTTCTTTGGTTTGTATTTGGCTTTTAACGCTTGGGGAAGAAGCTTTAGAAGAAGAACATCAAGAAAGAAAGATAATGGAATCAAACCGCTTGGACATGGGAATATTTGTTTTCCTCTCATCTTGCTACTTGATTTACAATGACACCATAAAATTTTCTTAAATTATAAAAAACAGTTGAGATGTATCTCTAGATACGTGTGAAATGATGAGGAATGCCAAAACTACCAAAAACTCCCAAAACTCTCGGAATCTAAAGCCAGTAACAAATACGAGGTAACCAGATCCATTTCTCAGTTGCAATGGAACGTAACTGAAAAAATGACAGGAGGTGATTGGGTCTTAGACTCTTAGTCAACCCCTACCAGGGGTGGAAAGCCAGGAATTAGGTATGTTAGATTCTTGCGAAGAAGCGTTGTTAATAACAAGGCACTAACCCATTTTAACAAGTAAAGGGAGCTATCATTTTGTTTAACACACTCAACTTTCATCTGTTTTTTTGGGGACCTGTGCCAATTGGCAATTCAATATATACTACAAGGTTGATGTTTATAAAAAAGGTGTAGAAGTGACAAAAACCATCTTAGAAACAATAAGCTATCGGAAGCAAGATAGAAGGCAAAGTAATTCCACTACCCACAAGATAAAGAACAATATACATATACCTTTCTATTGCATATCAACAGGAAAATTTATGTTACTACCAGTGCATGGTAGACTAATCAAAATTTCAGCATATCAAATCTATTGCCAAGAAGAATTCACCCCACCCCAATCCGACCAGTTGCCATCCTAGCAAACCATGAACAAGTTTAAAACCAGCTTGAACTATCAACAGTTTAGCACAGTGGAAACAAGTTCTCTAGAATGATAAGATGAATGGATCTACAAAAAGAAAGAGTACATAAATAAATAAAAAAATTAAGAAAAAGGCATGAAAACCTACCAACTATCAAGGCTGATAAACTTCAGGAAGTTGAAGACCCACACTTGCAGCAGACTTTCCTAGTATTCTCTTCATTTCATCTGATCTATCCACCGCAATGTTGTAAGAAAACAGCAAATCCTACACAATCAAAGCCAATAAAAAGTCATGTTTATGATGGAAATAGCCTAAATCTTATAATTTAGTTGCTTCTAGTACAAAAATGGAAATAGACCAAACAGAAACAATTTGGCTCTAGCAGGCATAGGGACGAGAAAACAGAAACAACAGCCATATAGTATTCAAAGAAAAGCTTCCCCCATACCCAGTAACAGAACTAAATGTCACCATTACTGAAACTACTCATTTTTTTTTAAACAACCTATCAATGCACTATACAACCCTCAAATTCTTCAATTGGGTCCCTAAATTTTAAAGCAAAAATCATTATTTATTCATCCATCGCAACAAAAAAAAAAATACATTTCAGTATCCGATTGTTGAAATATTGGTAATTAGTACAAGTGATCGACCATTCATATCCATTTATACCACGTGAAAACCCAATTCTGATCTGAAATTTGTACTGCAATATACCATCAGTTAAAACAGCACATAAACACACACACACACGAATTTAATTGAAAAGGGAGTACCATCTGATGGTGGACGCTGTTTAGAAGAAAGGTGTAATCTCGGGCAAGCTTGATCTTGTGTTGAATGTAAGTGGAAGAGAGGTCCGACTGTTGAGTGTTGTTGCGGAACTGTTGTGATATGTAATCTGTGAAATGGGTCTTATTTTCGTCCTTGCCAATGTGTTTCTTCACTGCTTTGAGGAGGTGACGATACACTTTCGCAGCTTGCAATGCTTTGGAAGACCCCATTTGGCCGCAATTTGTTGTCTTCTTCGTTGAATTTCAGCTGAATCTCAACAAATCAAGTAAATCAAGATATATAAAAATACATGTATCACATGTATGTGTATTATGTATGATATTCAACAGAAGTAAGGCTTAGCTTACCTGAAAGAGGCTACTGCAGCTATCGGGGATGAGCGAGGCAAGAGGGTTTTGGTTTTTAGGGCTTTCACATTTTAATATTCATGCCAACCACTTTTTTTTAATTGAGAAAATAATAGTTATAATAATGATAATTTCATACGGAGTACTGTACTACTTTTACAAACTATCCCTAATAAAAGAAATTAAAAGAAAGTAACCCTATGTAAATTTAAAAGTTTTATGTTTATTACAAAATTATGGTAACCGGATATTCGGCAAAAGTGCAAAAAAAAAAAAATCTTTAAACTATTCATTTTGTTGCAAATCCTTCCCTTAACTACAAAAGTGTGCAAATACGTCCTACGACTCACCGGTTCGGCGTGTGTAAAGTCACGCTCCTGTTAAAATTATTATAATACCCAAATTGCCCTTTATATATATATTTATTTATTTATTTATTTGTGATAATTATACGTCTGATTGTGATAATATATAGGGAAAATTACATATAAATGGAGTCAAAATTTTATATTTACTTAGAGACTGAGTCAAAGTTCCATATTTCTCTAAAATGGATTGCTGAGGTGGCACATGATTTTTTACTGTTTAAAAAATTGTGGTGCCTAAAATGCCCTTCCCTAATAAAAAAGTAATACCTTCAGTTCAAAAGAGTAGTACCTTCGGAGAAAAAGTAGTACCTTCGCGAGTGTTTTAAAAACATGGTACCTGGACGCCAAAAAGTAGTACCTTCAATTCAAAAAAGTAGTACCTTCGCGGAAGGGTATTTTAGGCATCATAATTTCTAAACAGTAAAAAATCATGTGCCACCTCAGCAATCCATTTTAGAAAAATATGGAATTTTGACTCAGCATCTAAGTAAATATGGAACTTTAACTCCATTTATATGTAATTTTTCCTAATATATATATATATATATATAGTATATAGATTCAGTACTATATAGACACAGAATCTTTGATGATACAAAATAGGGTCTTCTTATTTTTTCTCAAAATCATTCTATTGCGCTAAAATACTTGTTTGTCTCAGGAATTCCATGTTATTTGTTATGATGAGTAAAGGTGATTGTTGTATGGGAGCGCGTAGGTGGCAAGTTGAATCACCCATCATCTCACCGAAACTGTGAAGCCTTGGTCGCCGTTCTCAACCTCTCCGATAACCGCACTGTCCTACGCATCAGACCGCTTCTTCCGTTACTCAACAAACTGAACTCATCAGAAAACCCATCAACGCCAAGCCTTCATCCGACCCAGTCACGGCAGCCATCATCACTGTGCCCAGCTCCCTGCTCGCCCTCAGCCAAGCTCTCTGCCATCGCCACCGCCGATCTAATCACAGTCAGCCGGAGCCATTCAAGGCCGAGTCATCCACGCCCGAACCAGCTACCACCAACAACCGAGCTCACAGCTATTCCACGCTCTCTGCCGCGAGCCGTCTCGTCATCTTTGTTGCTACTGCCGGGAATCCTATGACGTCGCTCTCACCACCACCCTCTATCACTGCCCAAAGCCCACAAACGCTGCTGACATATTTCTTCGTCGTCTTCCTCAACTCGCCGTCCCGAGCATATCCTTACTCGTTGCGGTGGGTTATACAGAGCTTTCTGCACCGCAGAGTCCTCCAATCTCACTGATCTTCCCACCGTCGACAAAAAATAATTTCATTGTCACCGGCAGTCCACTTTTTCATTCATGATCTTGTGATTGCCGTTCATGGTGATGATTTTCCCACCACTCCTCTTGGCTTCGTCCTTCAGTTTCTCGATGAATAGAGGATCTTGATCTCAACTCCACCGCGGTTGAGCACGTTGCCGGCAACTGTCCGGGCTTTCTTCGATTTGTGGAGGTCGTCGATTAGTTCGGCAAGTGTCAGATTCAGAATTTAGGGCAATTTAAAGTTAGTGGGGGGTATAATTGGTATTTTACAATTAGGTTTTTATTTTTATTTTTTTATAATGAAATAAATAAGGTTATTTTAGTCATTTTAAATCAACAGATGTCAGAAAAATTGATAGGGGATATTTGCACACTTTTGTAGTTAGGGGGGTGGATTTGCGACAAAGTGAATAGTTAATGGTTGCACTTTTGTCTATATTATATTAATGGTTGCACACTTATATGGAGTGGAATGTAATGCTATTTGATAAAATTGAAATTTAAATAGTGAATTTTAAGCGTTAAGTTTTTAAGAGGTAATTGAAAAACAAATATTTTTTACACCCAAGTTTGTAACCAAGAATCATGAATAAACATACAAGTGCAAATATAATAATAATAAATTAAAACACATGTACTTACGGATTCGGCAAAATAAATAATAATAAATGCATTCTTTATATATAAAAATATAATTTTTAATTAATTTCTTATAATATTATTATGAATCTAAATACAATTATTAATATAACATGAGAATTTATTACACAACACATAAACAAATATTTTTAATTATCAATTTTTAAATCTTGAATTTTTTAAAAAAATTATACTATGTTATTATTATTAAAAAAAATTATATTTTAGCGTTAGTAAGGTTAAAAATATGGCGTCTGGGGGTTTAACCGAGTTGGTAAGGTCATGACCTGGACTGCCTCAGGTTCCAGATTCGAATTCGTCCATTGTCATTATAACCCTTGACTGAAATTGTTACTGTGGTGTGAGCTTGTGGACAACATTTTCGGTTTGTAATTTGGGGTGGGTCCCAAAGGAGTCCTGACCAAGTGAGTTCCGGTGCCAACAAAAAAAAAAAAAAGGTTAAAAATATGTCATAAATTAATAGAATACATATTACTCCCTCCGTTTCATAAAAAAAAATGTCACTTTTAGAGAATCGTAACTCTTACAAATTGAACTGAAACAATTCTCCTGACACTTTTATTGGAACTGAGGTAGTATCCAAAAAATATCGATCTTTAATATATATAGCTTTGGTAATGGTATCCGTGATTCCTAGTTTGTAACACAACCCAACATTGGGTACCACTGCTTACAGCGCAAAATACAAATCAAACGTGGCGAAGTTGGAAGTTGAATAATAATATCTTATACGTATACTCCGTATCAGCACCGTTGTCTCAGCCTCTCTCAGAGTGTCTCGAGACTAAAATCAGATCTCCTCCGCCAAGAAAAAACAAAGTCCAGGCCATGTCGCGAGAGAGACCCAGAAGAGGGGCACTTCCTCCGGCCAAGGAGGTACGATCAACCACAATTATTTCTTATTAATCTTGATATTATCAGTTTAATCGCAATTTGGGTTTGTATTAATTTGATTGAAAATTTACAATCTTTCTGCTAAACTTGATGCCAAGTGTGGCGGATTTATAAACCTTTGTTAATTTGTCGAGTTTAATTTGAAAAGGTATTTGTTTTTTAGTGTGTCAGTACTGTGGAGTGAGTTAGAATTGCCAGAATAAATCTTTGGACTACATTGTGTTTCGGTGTTGAATGCAGAATATCGAGAAGATAGAGAAAGTTGTGAATGATGGTAACTATTATGGAGCCCAACAGATGTACAAGTCTATCAGTGCAAGGTATAAGCATAATCCCATATGTATATTTATGTAGGTTTAATATCATTCATGATGTATTTTTGGTTGAAATAAACAAGTTTTCGGTTCTTGAAAGTGTGAAGAAGAAAATTAACTCGGGAGGATTGGAAAACTATGTTGGAGAAAGGTTTTCAGTGTTTCTCTATTTTCTGCACACTGTTTAAAACAATCAAGTTCATCTTAGAAAGCTCCAATTAATTAAACAATGAAACTGACCCAAAACGGATTTATTTGCAAAAGTCTCATTGTATTTGTATAGTGATTTTAAAAACTTAAAACAGAGAGCTTAAATGAGGTTGTGATAGTGTGACTGAGCAGATCCTTCACGATCACAGACTTTGAATTTCAGACATTATAAACATTTTCTGGTTCTTCTTTTCCCCGTGCAGTATCAATTCTGGAAGCTGATGATGTTTAAAGAAATATTTTTTATTTGTTTCTCTATGATAAATGATAATATGTCAGCATGGATTCTTATCTACTTTGTACAAACTGTGCAAGACTCGAGAGAAATAACTTATAGGGTGGTAGGGTTATGAGTTGGCCATCCCTATTTCAACCTTTTAACTTATTTGTCAGCAGGTAAAAATCTTTTACTGAATCATTAAAAATAACAGAGAAAACAGAGATACTCTAAAATGTACACAAGTACCGATATAATAAGAGAATTGACCAACTAGGTTACTGATGAAAATGCATGTTTTACAACAGATATGTATTGGCTGAGAGGTATTCTGAAGGCTTGGATATTCTTCAGTCTGGTGCTTGCACCCAACTGGACCATGGGCAGGTGATACTCTTTGTAACTAATGTTTCTATTTTTGTCTAATTTCTTTGATGTAACTTGAACACTTTCTAAACTTTTTGTAATTTTTGTTGTCCTTTTTATTGTTCTGAAGAGTTATTATGTCAAAACCAAGATTTATAATTTGGCTTATTAATAAATCAAAGGAGGACTTGGCATAAGTGTACTTTATTGTTCTCCCAAAGTTGATATTGGATCCGGTTTGTTTCTTGAAATATATTTGAGGTAACATTCAAATGTTGCATAACAAAATAGACTACAACTGAGATTTTCTAGATTGCCGTTCGAGGCCCCACGTGCATGGTCGTTAAAAAGATTCAGCATATTAATTTGGCTATCCGGTTTTGTCATCATGGTAGTGGCACATTTTAGTCATTTTTCTTTTTATTGTTAAATATTGGATGTCACTATAAAATATTTTGGTTAAATTTCATCTTATGTTTTGTTACTTGTTCTTTATTATGCTTTATTTATGTGGCATTTTAGTGCAACCAGCTAATTAAGTTGTGGTGGAGGTTTTGTAGTAATTAGATATATGGCTAGAGGCAAGTGGGGTTTATATTTTATTTTCAAAATTCCTGGATTGAAGTTCAATCTAGTACAACGGAAATGTAGGTTTGTTGGTATTCTGATACTTCCATATTTAAGTTGATTTATCTTATTAAATCGAATTAAAGCTTTATGAATTATATGCAAAAATGCATTTCATGAAAAAATATAGCAATTTTTTTTCCTTGTAGAATTATTCATTCTATTGACTGACTTTTTGCATAAACCATTTCAGGTTACTTGTGGGGCTGAGCTTGCAGCTTTGTTCGTGGACACACTTGTTAAAGGGAAATTTCCTTATGATGAAGAAACTCTAGGTCAGTTCTCTCTTCTGATGTAATTCTTTGTTCTTGTGGATTCCCTCTCTCTCTCTCTCTTTCAATATATATATATGTACATGTTTGTGCATGTATTGTTCTTATACACATGTATAAGGTATTTATTGCGATGATGCATATAGAAGACTTGAATTTGACATGATGCAGCTTACTTTAGTCTGTTAAAATTTCAGGTAAAATGGCATGGACATTAAGAGGACACATTAGTAAATAATTATCTAGCTGTATATCATTTTGGTAAATCTACTTACATTATTAATATAAATATTGTTCAACATGTAGTAATGTATGTGACTGTTTAAATTTGTAACTGTGAGTCAGATATTAAATCTATTTATGTGCGTCACATATCCTCTTTTGCTATATATGCTGGCTACATGTTTCACTTTAAACCTCTTATATCCTATACGTGCTTGTTCATTCCTGCATGCCCAAGTGTGTCTAGGTGTTTCCAAGACATCAATTTGTGTCTATATCGAAACTGTTCTGATATAAATGAATTTTAGGTATAGTTATTTGGGTTCACTTGGGTCTGTGATACAAAACTGTCTGCTTGGGTCTCAAATTAGATTCTTAAGTAATTGATTGCTATTTTTAGCCGCCCCCCCCCCCCCCCCCCCCCCCAACTTAGTTATTTTGTTAAGGATCTCTATGTACACCAATATATTTGAAAATGGATTAACTAGCTAAGGAAATGTAAAAAACGTTCCTTTTCCCTCTGTTCTCGCATCGTACGCCAATAGGGACCATATGGGTCATGTGACACAAGTACCTTGATGTGTAGGCAAGTTATCCAATTTACAGGAAGCAAGCAACAATTTTTACGGTAAGGTTCTCAACTCATATCTTGGAGGTTGGGAGTTCTAATCCTCCTTGGGGCCATTCCCAGGGAATTTTCTAGGTACTGATTGGTGCATTTCGGACTGGGAGACTGCACGTGTCTGGTGGTGGACTATGGGGTGCTCTAAGAGGCTCGACACCACCATCATTGACCAAAAAAAAAAAGCAGCATAAATTGAAAGGAGTGGGCTAAAGGTTATACAAATACAAGAGAGTCCTTGAATACATATGAAGGAAACACATTACAATTAGTTAAGGTAGGGCATATCTATCAAAAAAAAATTAGCTAAGGTAGGGCAGGCGAATATGACGATAACTCTAGACGGAAGTATGGTGCTAGGGATGCATAGATAGCCTTTGGTGAAACAAAAATCTAGGAAAACTGGCTTGCTACGGGGAACATTATTGCTTGAATCAATACAGGCCATAGAAAATGTCAGAGATATTAAACATTTTTAAAAACTAAATCTAGTAGAAGATATGGCCTATATGATAGAAAAGAGTGGATGAAGGGAATCCATGTGGCCGACCCCATTTGTACGGGATAAAAGCAAGGATGATGATGATGAGACTTCAGCAAAACCCCTTACAGACACAGACTTAATGGCCCCTGGAAAAAAATACAAAACCAGCTCCTCTTGGGTCTCACTGGCTCTCACTCTATTAGTCTATACTTGAATTGCTATTGACTTCTAGATGGGTTCTGGAGGGTAAATTTTTCACTCACATTAGTTACATAGTGGGAGACAGGAGGGAGGATGAGTTTGCAGTACATCTTGCAGCGCAGGATCAACACGCACCCCCCCCCCCCCCCCCCCAACACACACCCCCCCCCCCCCAACACACACCCACCCACACACAAAAAAGAAAAGAAAAGAATTAATTAGTAAATTGTTCCCCTCCTCCCCTCCCAAAGGAACAATTTCTGGATCCCCCACTGGTCCATTTTCAGTCCTCCTGTTGGACCATTAATGTGTACTTCATGCTTGAATCATCTTTGTAGAAGTTAAGATCAAGTAGTTCTCCAATTTGACTGGATGCTTTAGAGCTCATAAACTCTTTATAGCCATTTTTGGTTGTTTGATTTATTCATCTTCTTTTTTTTTTTTTTTTTCATGTGTATGACGAAATATCTTTGTTAGACCGTGTCAGGAAAATCTTCAAAAAGTTCCCACGAATTCCTGTGCCACAACACTTGGGCTTGGGGGATGATGATGACATGCAAAAACTTTCTGAAGCCCTTGGAGCAGCAAACATACGTGTAGATTGCTGCTCATCATTTTTAAAAGCTGCTATTAAGTGAGATATTCTGCCCTTTCTTGTCTCTCTTTTTTTTTTTTTTTTTAATAAGAGCTTGGTTCTCTCCCTCTCTCTCTATATATATTAGATTTGACATTCATACTTCAATTTTGTACTATCACACTCGACTTACTTTTTAATAAAAGAAACTAAAAGTGGAGTTTAAGAGTACTTGTGGAATATGAGAATGCTTTTAAAAGAGATGTGTGAATTTCTTTTTTTCAAAAAGAAACTGAAATGCAAGCATACAAAAGTGGAGTGCAAATATTGTTTCCCTATTTTTTAGCCATCATACTTGTAATATAAGGGAATTTGGGGATGCTTGGGCGTCACCCTTCCTTAAAATATCTTTGGTGGTGCAATCATTCAATGAAATCAAATGATAACATTGTTTCTACCTGCTTTGACTAAGTTGCAGTGGTACGTAGCTCTTGGAAGTTTGTGAATTATCACCGGCTGCTCTTATAGAAGGCTTGTCACTTTGCAATGATGCAATTTCTTCAGCTTCCTCTTTCAAGTGCTTCTCATTTAAGATTCTTGTGTACCGTTATCTAGTATTCCCATAAACACAGAACTGGGCAACAACCATAAGATCTGCCTTTAACCCTCTGCCTGCTCACCAAAAGAGATCCCCTAAAGGATTAATATGCAGTTGGGTGCCACCAAATAGGCAACTGGTACCAAATAATGCCTTTACGCAGACGTCATTTGGGTTACCTGGGTTGGGAGATCTGATTAGTGAATCACAGATGTTTTACTTTATCATGTTTCAGAGGGTTTGGTTGTTCCTATAATAGGTTGGAATATATTACAAAGAGCTAACAGTAGTGCAGTTACTGCAATGTGGTTGCTGCATCCAGTGATTCCTTTATTGGATTTTTATGGCATGAAACCCTAAAAAGGAATATAATTGTCCTTCGATCTTCTTCGTTTTTTTTTTTTTCCCCCAATAATTTGTATTTACTTTGCTTTACTAATTTCTTTTTTCTTTTAAACACCTAATGGCAAAATGAAGCTTTTGATTTCTTGCATACAACACCTTTTCATTTTAAAAATTGTGTGTGAAAAGGTAGTTCGCTTCTACTGCATGATTTAAACTTTGTTCTCTGTTACTGTGAATGCAATCTAACTGTATTCCATTGTTCCTAGGTGGTCTTCGGAATTTGGAGCTCCTAGGAGTGGATCTCCTGAACTACACAATATGCTAGCTGAATATATATATTCTGAATCTCCTGAGGTGGTAGGTCTTACAGCATAATTACAGGCTCAATGTATTGGGTTGTTTTTCATTTCTTCTTAGTTAAGCCTTACATTTTATTACCATTTTTCCCGATTCATCTGAATGAGTCTTTCCTTGTCCCAGTTTATAAGGTAAAGAAATGCTAAATTACTTGTCTTTTATTACTGATATAATATATACTTGGGTTGGCTAACCACAATACACAAATATATGTAACTGAAAAATCCTACCAGAACAGTGTAATTATTAATGTTTCATATTTTATTATTTATATGAAAAAGGTCCATATAATTATTCCTTGAATTTAAGACGACTCTACTTTTGATATGGTGTAGGATCATGAAACAAGGAATCTCATTAATTCAAAGAACATTTTTGTCTTAAAATTGGAGGCGACCACATTGGAATTTAAATCCTCTGATAATAACGTTCCTGAATACTTTGTATGCCAGGTCAAATGGGATTCATTGGTTGAAGTGCTTCCTCTGATCTACTTTAGATGATATTTTATCTCTTTGGTTTTATCTTTACTATCATTTGTAGTCAACTTGTTTTTAGTTTGGCCGCATTAAAGGTGATGGATTTGTGTACTAAAAATTGATCTGGGAATAGCTTTCAATGGGCGCTTTCAAACGTGTATTTATTATCTTTTTTGGGCTTTTGTTTACTGCAATGTACTTTAATTGGTAAATTGTGTGGTTTGGAAACTTAGGCTCCTATTGTTGTTGTTTCCTTATCTTTTCTTTTTTATCTTGCTTTTTGTTGGCTATTGTGGTTCAATGTCATGTCAACGTCAAGATAATGCTGCTTTGCAGGACATGACTAGAGTATCTTTTCATTTTGTTCGAGGGGAATACCCAAGGAAGTTTGCTTCAACACTAATTAATTTTATGGGCAAGGTTAGCTTATCCTTACCCTAAAAATTGCTTTTGGAATTCAACCATTAACTTTTGCAACTTTACTTTTCCAACCTTTTCAACATTGGATTGATCTGCAACTTCCCTTCAAGTTTTATCAGTTTTTCAAGATTTTGTTCTCTCTCTCTCTCTCTCTCTCTCTCTCTCTATGTATGTATGTGTATATATATATATATATATAAAGCTTTTATAGTCATTATACTCATCAAAATTCTATAACAGTTTTTTATTTTTTATATTTTTTATTATTATTATTTTTCCCCTCAAAGAATTTTATTCAAGATTTTGGTACTCTTCTGGGATTTTATTCTGTTTATTCTAAAAAAAACTTGCATGGTCCATGCTAATAATACCATAACTTTTATTTAATTGGTTGGATTCCAAATAACCAATTTTAACATATTAAAAGATTTTTTGTTTTCCTTTTCTCTTTTTGCATAGTTCTACAATGAGTTGAATTCATATAGTTTTACTATGCAGTGTTATCCAGGTGAAGATGATTTGGCCATTGCACGGGCCATTCTAATGTAAGTACAATTGAGAACTGGGTAGCTGCCTCTAGATTTTCGTCATTATTGTTAAACATTCTATCCTGATCGTATAAACCATGTGATTCTCAATCCTATACTAATATATTCCAATCTTGCTTCATCTAAAACTCCCCAATCAATAATATATCAATGAGCCATATCAGAAAAGTATGATTCTTGAACTTGGGACGTTAAACTGCACATTTATGATGAGGCACAATTTTTGAATTTTATGTTCTTTTGGAGATAAAGTTCCTTTTTTATGCAAGTCATGATAAGGGTAGAGAACTATGCAAATTTGTGAAAACAGTAAGCTTTTTCTTACAAATTTCCCTATAACTTGCTTGCATACTCTTACCCCATGTAGTGCTACATGAACTCGGTACCTTTGTTGGGTATTGGTATTTGTAAAGTGTTGAATAAATTAAATCCCCAAATTCAAGGACTTGGGAAGCAACTAAATATATATATATATATATTAACATTGTTCTTGTATTTTGCATGATAAAATGGTGTTCTTTTTGTAACATAGTGTATAACGTCAACTTCACTTATTTTTATATATAGGTTCTGACTATTTTTCCTAGTATCAAAGATTAACAAAATCTCCAATAAGACAATTAATCAATAAGGAATGTAAGGATGTGGATTTGCCTAGGAACAAAGGCAACGCGCACGCGTGTTCATTTATCTTTTATATACAATCTATTTGCTTAAGGATATGTGTTTGTGCTTGATACAAGTATATGGATCAAGATCTGCATGTGTATATATGCACATGTATTGTGTGTGCAAAGAAAGATAGAAAGGCTTATTCGTTGTAATTTTTACAAACAATTTCCCGGCAATGATGGTGGAGACGAAGTTCTAAAAGATCGTTAATCGTGCTTGGTTATCTAGTGAGATGTACAGAATCAAGCTCAATATTATATCTCTTCAAAGGATTATATTTGACAAGGCTGTCTGTCGTTGGTGATAGAGTGATACATTTATTGATCGCGTGTGTAAGGAGAACATGGGGAAGATGAATGAGATGGTTGGAATAGGGATCATTGGAGAAACCAGATAGCCCTGAAAAGTAGCCATCTCTCAACCAACAGTACCTTCTTGTGCATTACTGGTCTTGAGATGCGATGGCAGTGAGAGATGGGTGATCAAGATAGATCACCGTGTTAGCGAGGGAAAGAGAAAGATGGGGTTAGGGCACGTTCGGAAAGAGACCACTGGAGACCCGAACCCTTAACCTTCCATTTGGAAGGCGGAGGGGATACCACTTGGCTAAGCCTTTGGTGGTGATAGTATATTAAAATTGTATTGTATGTTTTTCAGTTTTTCTGTGGTTTCTTGCTATTATTGAGTTTCACATGTACTTGGATTTCTTGCTTGTGGTTTTTTCTGCTAGGTATTTATCTCTAGGCAATCTCAGAGATGCTAACCATCTTATGGATGAGATTAAAAAGCAAGTGAAGTCTAAACAGGTGGACTTCCCACAATCAGATTTGATCCAGTTTGTCAGTTATCTTTTGCTGACGTAAGTTCTTTCTTCTTCTTCTTCTTCTTCTTATATATATATATATCTTTTAGTACAGTTGAATTTCTTCTGTTGGGAAATAATGTGTAACACCACCTCAAACCAGAGAGAAGTTGGCATGGAGACTATGCTTTCAATAATGAATACATTTTGTAGTTTGCTGATAATGCTGATCTGTAATTTAAAAGAGGACAGTATTCTGGTTAACTGTTCAAAGGGCGCTCCTTGAAGCTTCGGTTGGTCTAAACCTCACTCAAAACAAACAAACAAACAAATAGATGAAGCTAAAAGTACTCCTTTTTCATTTGTTGAAGTTTGTGTAGGTGACTGCTTTTATTTGAAAAGCAACAAAATAAATAACAGAAGAAAAGCATGCAATTGATAAAATTATTTACTAGCTCATTACTGATCAACCACATGTATTGAAAGGTCATACGTGTAATTTTATTCCGCTGATTAACTGTTATTATTTACCTAGTGGCATATTTATATGTTCAGCTTCAAATCTTTGGTCCAGTCTTTCTTTAACTCATACGCCCCTGGAGCCCTCATTCCTCTCCTCCATCTTTATTAACTTGTCAAAACATTTTCCTATATTGCCACATATAACTAGTCACTGAGTAGAATAATAGTTGCTTACTGTTAACCATTTGTTTTGTGTCTTAATGTTAACTATTCATTTAGTGTTCACATATCAATTGAAAAGGTTGATTGGCTTATTCTTGAAATCATCATAGTGGATGTGAATCACAAGATGTATTGAAAATTATTTACTGAAAAAAAGATGTATTGAAAATTTGAAATTTTGTTTTATTTTATGCAGGATGGAGAGAGATGCTTTACCTCTGTTTAATATGTTGAGACAGAATTACAAATCTTGCATAGACAGAGAATCTGTATTTAATGAGGTGTGGTATCGGTGTAGAATGCAAGTTTCCATTCAGATGTCTTTTCACTTTACTCTTCCTACTTGCACACATAAATGCATATATCGCTGTTTTCACGGTGCAATTAACATGACTGCTGAATGGTCTTGATCTATCATTAGTTTGCTGATCTATTCGTTTTTTTTTTTTTCTAAGTTTAACACTAATATTATTTTTTAGTTGCTAGATGAAATCGCAGAGAAGTTCTACGGAGTACGGCGTAAAAATCCCCTGCAAGGGATTTTTGGGGATTTCTTTAAGGTAGTTATTATTATTAGTGAGAAAAGAAATATGGAAACAATAGATTTATTGGTGGTGGAATTCTTATAACACTTTCTTTTTTTGAAGATGATGGGAGGTGATAGCATGTGACAGAATTTCTGAAAGATCCCAAAATACCAGTTCATGCTGTACTGTTGCACCGGATGAAATGCGACACTTCAGAAGCAGTTCGTGTCCCGAAGGTTCTCATATAGTTTACAGCAGTTAGGTAGGCCTTTCCTATACTTGAATGGAAGTTATGATACAAAATCTTTGAACCGGGCTTGTATTATTAGAGGATTTGTTCTTTTTATTGAATTTTGACCTTTTGACTATCATCATTTGTGTTACTGTCCTCGCTAAGTGTACAATTTAAGACGTGTGTCTTTTTACATTCAAAAATATGTTATGCATCTGATTAATTGATGCAGAAAGGCCCCTGCATATCTGTGATCAAATTACCCTTACGAATTCGAGTTCTTAACAACGCCAATAGATTTCAGTGGTTGGTGATGTGTGGCTGTTCAGAGTGCACTATTTTATTGCTTGGTTTGTGGAAAGATTGGCAGACAACTATGTGGATAAGAGTTTAAAAACTATGAGAGGCTATTTTTTAGAAAAAAAATATTGCCATGCTACGCTGGAGTAGGTGTTTTTTGTTTTTTGTTTTTTTTTTTTTTCCCACCTTAATTTTTTATGTTCTGTTGGAGGGAGTTAACCAACCTGCTTAGAAAGAATTCTGGACTCCACTTGTGACTCACTCGATTAATCAGAGTTACATTTCGTGTTGAAATGGTCTGAAGGTCTGCACAATTTTTGTATGATATTGTACAATTTACTATAACGAACTCATCGACATGGAATTAGGGCAAGAATGATGATGATAATGACATTAACAAACTCACATGTTATTGTAACCTCTTTGCTTCGGGGAGAAAAACTAAGGAAACCCAAAATGAAAATATATCTACTAAAGGAAAACAAACTTTGTTAATTGAATCCCCTTCTAGACTAAATTATTTGTCAAGACTCTATGGAAGGTAATGAAAGTTTATTCTATACAAAGAGAAGATTAAATAATTCTACAGTTTTTTTAATGATTTTTTGTCATGGTAGTAACTGGTTAGAACTAGATAGATATAGGAGGAAGGAAAAGAAGAACAAGAAGCTAGATTCATTTAATGCTGTCTTTTAAGTCTGTATTGTTGTATTTTGATACTAGTAGTTTTAATTTGTAAATTATGTCTTAGCATTCTATTTTAACTAGTCTATGCTTGATTATCGGTGTATCTACTTGTCTTAACTGTTTATGTGATATCAATTATATCTGCTTTCTTTTATTTTGTCATTATAGGTGACAGTCCTAATTTCTCTCCACTTTAGTGACTCCAACTTCATATGTATTACTTCAATTTGAACTTATTGTCCCTATAAAAGGCTGTGATATATTATTATATTTTAAGAAAATAAAATTATTGCCATCTTCAGTAAGTTGGATAGAGAGGTCATGAAGAATGTAGCACCATCTCAACTAGGTGAACCTAGGCATAGTTAAATCTACTTTCTTGTGTTAGTTGCTATATCACCACTTTAGAATAAACTTTTTCTTTGAAGGATTTTTTTTTTTTTTGTATGTAAATATCTTTTGTCTCCAATATGCTGTTCATTGTGACCTACCTTTTACCATGACATTGATCTTATCTTCTTTTAGAGAGAGAGAGAGAGAGAGAGAGAGAGAGTCCTTTACATTTATCAAAAGCTAGGGTGCCCATATTAGTGGCCTCCTTTGAGTTTCCCATTCCCACAAACACAGAAGCCTCTAGTATGAAAAGCATCAAGATAAAGGCCTTTCAAAAGGGTGTCATTTTTCACAAGTTGGGGTCTTGGCACTTGAGTTATATATATATATATATATATATATATATATATATATATATATATATATATATATATATATATAATTGTAGTGGTATCCAACTTATTTATGGTTGACATGTAATGCATTACCAAGCATTCACTTTCTCCATGATAGGCTATGCAAAACTGTAGAAATACCCTATATTTATATCCATACAGAGGCTTCTGCAAGTAGACAACATGTGCTCTTTAGTGCTTTCTGAGAAACTTGCAGCTAGACGCTACATTTACATTTGAATGCAAATTCAATTCCTACATTTCTAGTGCATTTCAACCTTTTCATTTCTTAGTCTGAACCATTGAATTCATAGATTTGACGACTGTCTCATTCATTAGATGAGATGAGTCTATTGTGATGCACGAGAAACTACAATCATCACAAGTATGAATGCAACTAGCATTTTTCGTGTGGTAATATTTATGGTAATAAATAATCGTATCTCATTCTGCCAGCTTTTCTAGACTGGATCTGAGTGTTTTCATATCTATAATTAGGGTGTAATGAGTACCACGAGAACCTCGCTCATTAATTAGGTCTAATTTGGTAAACTTTGTTGTTTAATGAATGTTGTTTGGGAACATGGATTTGGAATGAATTTCGGTAAAAAAAAAACATGGATTTGGCATGTCTGGTTCTTTAATTCCTACCTGCAATCTGACACGTGATATTAGACCAGTAGGAGTATTTTACCTGCGTGACAATTAATGTTTCATTCATCGACAAAATCGATAAAGATGGATTAGACACGTAGATTGCAACATTGATAGTACGGGGTTTGAGTTACATAAAGTGGACTAAGGTTGTGGCTTGAAATTCAATGTGCTTCGTAATTTAGCGACTAGTTTGCTTTCAATTGGAATGGACCCAGGGTAAATTTGTTATTTTAAAATAACAATTATCAACCTTTTATATTTAATATTATATGGTAAGATTAATTTTGTCGCTTCACAATTTAGTTAATACGGATACGAGGTTTGTTAGTTGTGGGGTTGTTTAATAATGTTAGGGGTTATATACATATTTCTAATAGCATGTGTGGTTTTATGACTTTATTCTAAATATAAAATGATACATTTGCTAATGATTGTATTCTTGCGTTATTCGTATCTTAATTTTGCATAATTTGTTACATCGTTACATACATGTCATGTCCATATCCATTTCCGTGTTTCTTTAATGATAATCAATTCTCACTCGTATTCGCCCACCATCCATCCCCCCTCTTTCTCACTAATTTGGAGATTGATTCTTGCTTTACATAATTAATTGTGAGACTTAGCAAGCATTTCTTGTTGAAGACAAAACAAATTAGTCTCGACCAAAATCCATAATTATATTTTAATCAAGAAGTAATAATTAGCATTGTTGTCATACAAACATGATTACATTGAAAATCTTGTGAATTGTGATGGTACAACTCAACAAAGTTTTACTGCAACACGGTAGTTATGGTACATATTCTTTCTAGGCCTATAAGCTTAGTCTAGGGTCATATATATATATATATATTACACTTTCCTACATCAAATGAAATGTTTTATTTTCTTTATTAGATTTTCCGTTTTTTTGAGCTGATTTATCATATTAACCACTTTTCCTGTTTTAAATAGTCTGAATAAGATTTTATTGAGTTGGGTTGATGTTACATTATCTAACTTGATGCATTTTTTTTATTTTTTATTTTTTATTTTTTTGGGAATAATAATATGTTGAGTTGAGTTGATATTATATTATTTAATATGATATATATTTTTCTATTTACATCATTTTTTTTTTAGCAATATATGATATAAGAAAATGTTGATTTTAGAGCTTGCATGAACAACTCAGCTGGTAAGGCCTGCACTATTATCCTTAGGTTTTTAATATATGATATAAAAAGTTTTTTTCTTAAATTTTGAAAAATCATTTATTGAAACCAATTTTAAAAAACACATCTTGTTTTAGATTCGTAAGTTGATCAGTGATTGTCGCAACATGTGAATTGTATCGGCAATAATGACCTTATTGTTGTTGTTACCAAAAATACAAATAAATGAAATTTCACAATTTTGATAGTGAATTTCACCATTAAAGTGATGAACTTCACACGTAGTAACAAACCAACGGTATGAAAAGAGAATTTTAATAACTTCATCCCATGTGAGCTTAAACATTTAATTATCCTAAAAGAAAAAAAACATCTTCATCACAACAGAAATTTTCTCACGAATTTGTTTTTTATTGTTTTTTGAGTAAGAATGTGGAAAGCATTTCATTTTAACCCTTTTGACATTTTTACCCTTTAAAAAAATCTCTTTTTTTAAGATGGTCAAGTCAAAAGGACTTATCAAAAGGATGGTGAGGCCTTGATGGTTCGAGTCCCTTTTATGAATAAATGAGATTGTTAATTTTTTGCCAATTTTTTTTTAAAAAAAATAAAAAATTAAAGGACCTAAATAATCTAACAATTTCTTGTTGTCCTCACGGTCGGTGAAGTTCTAACACTTTTAATGATGAAATTTTAAAATAAACAAAAGACAAATGAATGACAATTCATAATTTCAATAATAAAAAAAAGTGATAAATTTCACCAACCGAATAACCGACTGTATCAAGAGAGAATTTTAATTTCAAATCAAATCATTTTCCCTAAATTTTTTTCCTTCAAGCAAAAACCTTCAAGATATTTTTCATTTGTCCTACTCTCCATGTCTTCCACAATTTTAATTCATTGGTACCAAACCAAACCTAGCTAGAGAGAGTTGATTGAAGCAGTGTCGACACAACAATGTGTCACGCCAGAAAAAAATGTGTCTTCGCATAGAAATAACGACGCAATGTCACAATCTTTTTGACGACTTTGGAGTCGGTCAGTCTAAATCTCGTTCTACACGACCTAGCGGTTCCCTACCCAACTAATGCCCCACCATGCTTGCTTGTTGCCATCTTCTTCTCTACCAATTTAGATCCACGTAGACTTCTATATATATATATATATATATATATTAGTCAATTTTCAATTAATCACCACATCACTGTATTATAGATATCATCGTTATAAATGCTTTTTGAAAGAAATAATAATATATATGGTGCTTCAAGAATGGCAGCATCTGCTTAGTCGTTTTCTTCTGTACATAGTCGGCACCCGACACAGTTATTTTGGGTGGCATAACTCTCCAGGTGGCCTTCTCTGAAGGATATGATCTTAAGAAGTCACGGATAGAGATACGGAGATAAGAGTACGATACGATATGCTTAAATGTGGTATCCATGTGTCTAAATGTGATATTTATGTGTTTTTACTTTTTCAAAACTATAAAAATTTAACTTTATTAAATGATAAATATGACTCATGAACACCATTTATATGTAATAATCATGATCCCTATGGTAAGAGTTTTATATAAAAATAATAGTGAAAAAAATAAATAAATAATAATAATTTTTATTCATATAAATATAAAAAATTACTAATTTAGAGGTTAGAGGTAGATGCTTGTTATTTTTGTTTTCTTAAATTTTATATTATTTTTTTAATTAATCTATAATATATTTTAATTTGCATTGAATTTTTTCTTTTTCGAAAAACCACCCGTCATATTTTAAGTGCTCAAAATGGGTCATTACCATGCTTCTGTTGTGTCTTACCGATATACCACTAAAAAATAAAATATTCAAATGTCCGTCGTGATGTTATCATTGCTCCAATAAATTATTATTATTTATTATTATTATTATTATTATTATTTTTCTGTCTTGTCTTGTTATCACTATTAATATTATTTTGAATAATGTCCTTAATTAGAAAGTAAAAGATATCTTAAACTCTAATTCGTTAAAAAAAATAAAAAAAAATAAAAAAAATAAAAAAAAATAAAAATGTTCACTTAATCTTTATAGTTGTTCAAACATAAAAAATTTGAGAAGTGATACTCACATCAAATACTTGCAGTGAATTGTTTAATTTGATAATTTTCAATTGACTATTTTTATCAAATACAATTAAGGGAAAGGCTTCACTTTCTTATTTGTTGCATAATTGACCAATTATTTTGAATAATGTACTTTCTTATTTGTTGCATAATTCCAAATCCGTTCATGTCTATCATATGTCATTACATATATTAGCAATCTAAACCTTTTATTTGTAAAAGCAAACATCTTTCTCAATTAATTTACCATTAATTTAGTTTTTTTCTCTCTCTCTCTCTTAAAACACGAGTAGACTCCTCACAACAAATGCATCATTCAAGTTAGAAATATGATCCAAAAGCAAAACCTCAATAACTTATTTTCCAAATCATTCTACCAACATTGCTATACCCTGCAACATTAATTCACCTTTCTCAATCACAACAATTAAGAACAAAATATATATTAGACGTGTGCGGTTTAGAGTAATTTTTAAAAAGTCGGTCATGTGGTTTGAACTTTGAAGTTGAAAAATGGCTTAAATTATGCTCTAACTTACCTTCTTGTTAAAACACAAAGATTTGGTTGTTATGGGAATTAGTATAAGTACTACTTTTTATTTTTTTTCTTTTTCTAGTTTTGACATGAAATGAGTCCACCTTTTCAACTGGTCTGTTTCCTTGTATGCCACAAAATCGGTCGATGTCAAAATTTAATCCTCAAAATTTTAACGTTAACATTTTGTATTAAATTATGAATTAAGATATTTCATCGTACTACACCGTGATCACTTAAAAGTAAAACATCTAGACTTTATGTCATTTGTTACTGTATTTGACAAGATTTCGTGAAAGAAAATATATATATATATATATGTAAGATATGCAATAAGCACATACATTATACATAATCTAAAACTATATCACATATGTAGTTTAATTTATTACAACATTATGTTTATTTAAAATAATCCACTTAAAAATTAGAATAAAATATAAATATAAATATATATATATATATATAAAATTCGCCGCAACCACGTAATATATATATCTTTCATACTGATGACGTGAGCAACTGGTGTGATGACATGCTGCATGACAGCACACTAAGTCGGGTTTTCCCACTCTCTCTCTCTCTATATATATATATATAGTCTTTGTTCATATGCTTAAACCATCTCAAAGTAACTCATCGTCCTCACCCCTCTTACCTTCAACTCTCTCTCTCTCTCTCTCTCTTTCTCTCTCTAGAATGGATTGCACTGACAGGACCCTGACTCCTCCTATCAGTGTGTCCATTACTAGTGATCCCTTCTCATACTCTACATCATCAACTTCTCCTACCCAATCTTCCCCTACTGCCACTACTCCCTCTCCACCACAGCTTATTCTAAGTCCTTGCGCTGCATGCAAAATTCTCCGTCGCCGGTGCGCGGACAAATGCGTTTTGGCGCCATACTTCCCGCCTTCGGATCCACTCAAGTTCACCATAGCCCATAGAGTCTTTGGAGCTGCCAACATCATCAAGTTTTTGCAGGTAAATGATTCATGCCCATTCAGCTAGCCTTTGGAGATCGTCGGAGTTTCACCAGAAGCTCTCACATTCTCTAAGACTTGTTACTTGTATTTATGCGATCACCTCAAGATTTATATTCCAACAAAGTTTGCATTCATTTGGATTTAGTGTGAACACGGTACGGACCTTTTAAGGGCTCAGGGGGAGCACGAGCCCCGCTGATCGATTATGTATTTTTGTATAATTTTGTTAAAATCTTCAAAATATCCTTATATGTTTAAGGGCCGCGCCTCTCGTACAATTTTCTGAATCCGTTACTGAATGTAGAATTAGTCCTTGATTAGTCTGTATATTTGACTTCCCACTATTTCTAACCTATGTTCAAGTGGGTTCTTTTTCACAACACCCAAATTCAAATCGGGCTTTCTTTGTCTCCTTTACAAAAGCATGTTACACTTCAATATTTGAACTTGAATTGGATGGTAATCTAGTCCTTTGTTTGGTGAATGGGGCTCCACCTCTTGGATATATGGTTTGAAAAAGTTGACATTACCCTTTTTTTTTCACAAATAAATAAATAAAATTCACATATATGAAGGTCAAGAGTAGCAGGTGACCCAAATGATTCCCAAATTTTTTATTATTATATATATATATATTTTTTGGTAATTTGATGTTTAAGTTTGTAAACATTTTTTTATATATTTAATTAGAAATTGTTTATCCTTGAAGTTGCTTCTTATTGAACATGCAATCTATTACAGATCAAGGAGAGACCTTCAATATACACATGTATCGCTCACACACATATATATAGAGAGAGACACTCAAATTACCACTAGGTTAAGACAATTTTTACAATGTGGTTGTTTTTGAGCTTTGAATATTGATAACAAATATTTATCAGGAACTTCCTGAGTCCCAAAGGGCAGACGCAGTGAGCAGCATGGTTTACGAAGCGAATGCAAGGCTGAGAGATCCGGTCTACGGATGTGCAGGCGCGATTTGTCAGCTTCAGAAGCATGTCAGTGAGCTCCAAGCAGAGCTGGCCAAGGCACGAGCCGAGATCGCCAACATGGAATGCCAGCAAGCTAATTTGGTGGCCTTACTTTGCATGGAAATGTCACAGTCTCAAGTTCAACCTATCCCTCAACAACTACCTCATGAAAGCTCAAGCTTCTTTGTTGATGATTGGGAACCTCTTTGGACATGAAAAGAGGTTGCAGAAAGTTTAGGTTACATATATATTCATGTGGGGATGATAAGAAAATGAGAGAGAAATACATTATAGATATATATATATATATATTTCAATAAATTAAGAGATTAATTGTAGTAAAGTTGATTCAATAGTGATCATTGACATGAGAAAACCCCATTTATGGAAAAAAAAAAAAAAAAAAAAAAAATTTAAAAAATAAATTATATTTAGAAGAGAAAAGGTAGGAAGCTGTCTTTGTAGTTAATTGTACTGATCCTGTGGTGAGTCATAATATATGTTAAAAACATCTTATTGGTGACCTAATTTTTATCTTTATTTTGAAGTGATTTTTCAATATTGCTTCCTTGTCAAACTTGTCCCTTGACCAATTTTTTAAATTTCATTTTGTCTGTATTTTTGTTTACTTCATATGACTTGCTGAGAAAAGGACTAAGGATAATAATTCATTGGGTAGGTGCTTTTCATTTTTCAAACATAAGGTAGCTATGATTTATCAGTTAAAGAGGGTCATATATAGGCACCCAAAGATATGAATTGTGTGAATACAAGAACGTGATTTATATGATTTCCAAATATTTGGAGCATATATATATACACACTCAACTTAACAATTGTTCCAATTATTTGAAATTTTGTGCAGTCTTCAGTTTTTATTTTATTTTATTTTTAGTTGGTCACACACATGTCAATCTCCACTAAAGTTTTAATCCATACCCTCATTTTGGAAAGTAAGGATCTGATACAGTTAAATTAATGGCTCTATTAGAAATATATATATATATATATATATAATTTTGGCTTTTTGATACCAAAAAGCCAAAAACTAAACTAGGATATATATACAATGAAGTTCAAGTCACCTTTTTTGGGCTTCAAGTCACTAGACACTCTCATAAGTCGTATAAAACGTGCTTGTTGCGTTTGCGAACCCGACTTTTCAATGGCATGTTTGGATGGTTTTTTTGAAGGGTCTGCGTGCCTTGGCCCTTGGGGTGTGTTTGACAGTCGTCTTGGCCGGGAAAGGTTGCAATTGGTTGGAAGATCTCCAAGTCTATTTTCTAACCAAACAAACGAAATATTAATAGACTTGGAAAAACACACACGTGGTCATCAAGTATTAATGTTTCAAGTTTTCTCACTTATAATGGATTAAGGTAATGATAATTTTATCACTTTTAAAATTTATAATTAATTCATGGTATTTCTGTGCATCAAAGTTGAATCTTAACGAACAAATTATTAAAATATTTCATCTTAGTTAAAGAAGAAGATCAAAGTTTGAAATGAAACGAATCTCATAATGATTAAATAGGTTAGTTACGTGAAAACACTTGACTCCATATGTAGGGGGAAAAAATGTATACTTAATTGAGAGGGTTGAACAATTCTTTCGCTGAGGGTTCGAGATTTAAAAGGAAGGGTAAGTAGGAAGAATGGGAAATGTAAGTGAGAAAAAATGATACATATTCTATATTTGGAGTATGCTGACAGAATGTAATTACTCTCTTAAGTCACACAATCTTCTCAACAGGCGTGGTTCTTACGTTCCGCGCATGCTCTCGCTCAAATTCTCATTGTTTATTACCTAATTTTACCTCTGATCACGCTCCGTTCCCAAATTCACTCCCGGTCTGGCTCCACTTAGCCCCCTTTCGAATAAGTATTATTGCTCATAAATTAATAGTTCACGTATCAATATAAGAATGTTACTTCCGAACTTCAAAAAGCAGCCAACACATGCAAATGTGAATCCTACTCTCGATTCATTGTTTGTTTCTACCCCATTTCACTTTTATCTCTCTTTTCCTTTCCTTCTCGACGAGAGAAAGGAAACACACTGTTTTTAGTCCTAGCAACTTTCTTTCCAATAGGCCAAAAGTTGAAACGCGTTTTGAGCAATACTCACCATGACACGTGCAACCCACAAAACCAAACAACCATCTGTCGGCATCCCATTAGATGATTCTCTCTCTCTCTCTATAATTTTCTCTCTCCAATATATATATATATAGAGAGAGAGAGAGGGTATATATATATAAACATGCCTGAATTTCTTGGCTAAAGAATATTGGTTTAGACAAAGGCCACAAAGATGATCTTTTGGTCCCCCATCCTATATATATCAATTGTCATATACATCAAACAAAACGAAATGAAGTCCCTAAGGTCACATGCAAGACTGCAACCATATTCTACGATTTCACTATAACGACAAACTTTCCTTTTATTCACATTAATAATCTGAATATTTTGAAGTCCAAGTGATCTATAAGTCATGTATACGGACCATAAATAGTATATACGTAGCAATACATAAATGGAGGTTAAAATGGCCCACGAATAAAATCTCTCCTGATTGGATGACTAGTTGTCAAAGTCATATATAAAATCACCTTTAATTAATTACTGATTAATAACTACTATACAAGAATTAAATTAATTAGTCATACAATAAAATTACGAGAAAAGATAATTGAGCCACCAGAAGCCATTTATATCTACCACGGAAGCTATATACTTACAACTAATATAAGAATATTGGAGAGAAAAAAAAAAAAAATTTAAGTTTACTCTCACACAGATGTACCAATTTTGTTTTTGAGGTACCACTTTTTGTGCATCAAGTATCACTTTTTTGTGCAGTACAAAAAGTAATACCAGCAAACATAAAAAGTGGTACCTATGTGTCTAAATGTGGTACCTCTGTTAGAATAAATAGTATTGTGTTTAATTTTTCGAAACTATTAGACTTTGACTCCATCAAATGATATATATGAATCATTAACATTATTTATGTGTAATAATTTCTAAAACTAACACCTAATACATATATATATATATATATATATATATATATATTTTCTATCTAGATTCGACGTGAAACAATAAACCACTAGTGTGTAAATACCCAGTCGCATGTCCATTTTATTTTGTAGTAATGGTCAAGTTGCCAACTTGCAAACTAGGAAAAAAAAAAACAAAGAAAAAAGAAAGTTGCCAACTTGCAAGACTGTTGGTCAAATTCTGTTACAAAAATATATATATATTTCAAAAAGCAAATTTAGAATTTTATGGACTTTCAATCTCTTATATTAGTAAAGTAATATATACCGTAGAAACAAGGAGATGGACCGTAATTGGCAAAACCTATTTTGTTTGTCAACCCGACTTTTACCGTACGTTGCTAGTTTGAGAGACCCCTTATCTTTGCCATATTCATTAAATATATAGATTACAAATTTCATTACAAACAATATATATGTGTGTATATATACACACACATATTAACTTCCGAAAAAATTTCACACCGTCTTTTGCCTCCACCGAGAACTTGAACCATTCTAAATTGAAAAAAATAATAAGTGCAATCACGATTGCATAGTCTCAATCTTTATATATGCAGGCCTACAAAATTCAAGAGTTGAACTTACAAAACGGGCAACATTCACAATTGTGCATAGCACAGTTCTATTTTTTCTTTTTCTTTTTTTGTCACATTAAACAAATTACAATGGATTAATTTCTACCATGCTCAATTTTGACTATAAAACGTCACAAATTAGGCTTTGGAATTAATATCTTGATGACAAACTCAAACTTTCACACTATTGCTTAAAATTAATTTTTAGAAGTCTGAAGAGAATTCGAAGTCCCAAACCTTTTGAATATGAAGTTAAAATCTTTATCATTATATCCTGAAGTTAAGTTAATTAATTATATACGTTACAAGTTTCATCACAAACTACATTATATTTATATATATATATATATATATATATATATATTACGTACCTTGGAAAAATACAAAATTCTCACACCGTACTTCTCTTTTGCTTCAGCTTTTTACTTTGAGAGGTGATAAAGAAGGAATTCCAAACATCTGACTCACATGAAGAGAGAGAACGGATTAAATTCTACCGTACTCGATTTTGACTATAAAATGACGACAAATCAAGCTTTAGAATTAATGGTGATTTCTTGCTGGATCACAAACTCGACTTCACATTATTTTTCAAATTAAGAAAGACTATTGTAGACTTTGTAGTGTGAACATGTAAACCCTATTGGGCCTACTAAGGTTTGAGCAAAGTTTCCCCAAAATTAGAAACTGCACATTCACATCCAAAAAAAAATAAGAATAAAAAACTTTTTTCTAAAAGTAAAATTGTCTAAATTCATATATATTTGATAATTTTTATGGTTCTAGAACCCTATATATTTTCAATCTTGCTGTATTTTTTTTTGGGGGGAAATGAAATATTCTAAGTCGAGAGGTTTAATTTTCTAATTCTGTTTATGCAGAACTAATTCCAAGTCAAGGGGTTTAATTTTCTAATTCTAAGTCCAGTGTCTTCCCGCAATTTATGCAGAACTAGTAATCTTCAAGAAGGAGATGACTTAGTAGTGATAATGATATATATACATATATATGTATATATATGATATCTAACTTTCTAGAAATATATATATATAATATGTTATATATATATATATATATATATATATATTTCTAGAGTTTAAGGCAGACTAATTTGACAAAGTAGACACTATATGTTATGCATGTTAAAAGAAATAGATGACATTTTCTCTCATGAATGTAAGTTTTGTTGACCAGTGTTGAATCAAAACTTTAGTTGATGTAAGTTGTTGAAAATTATTGTGTTCGGTCTGAGATTAATTCATGAAACTCATGCAAATTAAGTGATTCCTTCAACAATATATATATATATATAATGATGCATTAACTCAACTGAGCTGAGTGACTCATTAAGCAAGAGTTAATAAGTCAAAGTGAATGGACTGAAGTGAATTAATTAAGCCAACCATGATTGACTCTCATTGAGTTTCTTAAAATAAAAAAATTCATTATTTAGTGTGAATCATCATAAACGAACCTAATATTTTAACATTTTAATCCATAGACTGACTTTTCTTACTCATATTTGAACAAATCTTATCTTTCTTTTTGTTTTTAATTGATTTCACCAAACAATTATGACCCTTAAAAGAGATAATTAAAATATTATATTATTGGAGTGTAACTAATATTTAAATTATTATGATACCATTATAAGAACATTTTAGGACTCAAAGTCTAAAAAGGTCTACCAATCATTTTCGACTGCCTACTAAATTAAAAACATTGAGAGGGAAAATTTCAAAAGAATCAACTGAAAGCCAATGATGAATTGCCATTTCATCAAGTAGTTCATTTTTATTTTTCAATTTTTGTCTTTATTTCTGTTAGCATCAATCTGTGTTTTATGCTGAAGACACTCAAGAATTATATATATTAACCCAATTAATGATTAACTAAAATTAAATAATATTATCACGGACCAATTAACAAGCAAGATGTCAAGGGTATTGTAATATAATGATACTTTCACACTTTCCAAAGTAAAGTAAAAGGTCGTTTTGAGTTATGTTTTTTGTCAATTAAAAAAAAAAGAAAAAAAAAAGGCAAGATAATTCATATATATATATGTGTGTGTGTGTGTGTGTGTAATGATCTAGAAGGGCTCGTGTACCATGCAGTTGTCAAACATATTTTAGGGATAAAAGCCATGTAAATTCGACGGTTAAACACATTGAATTAAGTTTATTTTCTGGTTTGAGAAAGAGGAGTCAATTTCTAGAAAATAAGTTTAGGAAAATTCTAGACTCTCTCTCTCTCTCTCTCACACACACACACGCGCGCACACACGCACCAAACCGAGCAAGCCAAGGACTTTCTGGGCCCAAAATGCTTGTTGGCCAACAGCCTTGGCTTTAAAGCCCACTTGCTTCGTCTAAACATCACATAAAATCTCTTCCTCTTTCCTACTATCCTTTGCTCTTAACGTAGATGAATTTTCTTGTGAAGCCAAAAAGAAAATTAAAAAATATATAAATATATATTCTTACCAATAAATAAATAAAAATATAAGAAAAATGTAAATTTTAGGCAAATTAGAAAATGAAATAACATCACTCTTACAAAATTAAAATATCAGTCTGTCCAACCCACTGAAAATATAGTGTCACAAATCTGGCAACTAGCAAATTAACCACAACAAACTGTAACAATAAGCAAAAACCTTCCCGTTCTATATTTCAATGATAAATACTCATTCATGTGTGTCATTAACCCTAAGATCCATCAGATCAGTTCAAAGCAACTCGAAAGGAGATACGTCGACATTCAGTCAAGAAAAATAAAACAAAAGATTGAGCTATGAAAGAGAGAGATATATGATTAACATGTACAAAATGCATTATGAAAAAAAAAAAAAAAAATCCATGCGCCGTCAGCATCACTGGTAATTCACAATTTGGAACGAGTAAAGAAACTATAAAGAGAGATTACGTTGTCTTTAACAGAATTAACTAAAACGAACGACAGGTGAAGTTTCAAGCACATGATACTGCCAATTTGGAAAAGCTTAAAAATTTCCAGCAGCATTCACATGCTATAATTACAAAACGAGAATTCAGAGGCTTTTTCATGGTGCTATTGTCTTTGACATTATAAAGACGTTTACCAAAACTGGCTTCATGCTATAATTACAAAACGAGAATTCATAGGCTTTTCATGGTGCTATTGTTTTTACCAAAACTGGCTTACTTTTTCTGAGAAAGCTGTTCACCAGTTTGCTCTTCATTTTTGACCATAGCTTTCCTTGCAAGCTCATACCCGGCAAAATTCATGGCACCCAGTGGAGCAATCCAGAAGAACCTCGGTATGGCTCCTTTGAATAATCCAAGGGGTCCCTCATGACGGAGAATAGAGAAGGCTACGATTGACATGGGCAAAGAACGGCCCCGGGCAGTCATCATTCTAGTTTTCATCACATCAAAGGGTGTTGTTACTACAGCAGCTAGTCCACCAGATAAAGCCCCAACCGCAATTGTTTCCCAGGGTTCCAAATCACGCCTCAAAAGATGCTGGAAACCCTACAAACAACCACACGGTAGTCAATAAACAAAAAGAACAAAGAATCACATCGAATACTAATCCAGTCATATGTGGCAAAAGACAATAAACTACAAAATAAATAGACTTTGATGAGCAATTGCATACTGTAGAATGTAGCGCTCTTCCTGTTAGTCTAGACAAGAAGGAAAAACACTTCAGTCACAATCATCATATCCTCAAATGAAAATTGAGGCGAGAGACTCTGTTAGGCCAAAGTTTACATTGGGGTACTTCTTCCTTTAGAAAATATGATTCTTTTGACCAATGAGAATCTAAATTATGCAACTAAAATTGTATAAATTTCGATTGTTTGACCAACTGGCGGCTGTTTTTGTTGATTAAGGTGGCAGGAGCCATGGCCAACAATTGTCGCCTTTAAAAGTCCAAGTACATGTACATCTACTTTTTCAGAAGTTAAAATGTCTGCAAATTCATTTACAAAGATGTCTTTAAAGTACAAATGCAAGCGTGGCGAGGTGCAGAAGTCATTTTTAGTAAATCATTTCCTTCATAATGGCTCCGCAACTCATAAATTACACTGTCATATTTTCATATCAATGGTAAGAAATTGAATCCAAGTCCCAACCCAACCTATAGATGCCTTTATAACAAGGCAGTGACAACATTGGCCACAATTTGCAGATTCTTTGGTATATATAATTATCTCAACACAGTTGGGAAGTTGTTGTTTGCCTGATGGATTGATCACAAAGGTCACACTTATGTGGAAAACAGTTCCTTCAGATCATCTTCGACATTTCTGGAACATATAAGATTTTCACATTTTTAAAGAAAGATAACTTTGTGAATTTTAAATGCACCCTCTAGAAATTATAGATAATGTATTGATGCTATAGATCATTTACTGAAGCACGATTCCAAGCATGGAGGTGAAAGGAAAGGGAAATACAATCACCACTGCACCCGAAACAATACAAATTCAGATGGTGCAACTTCCATCCAAGTAGCCAATCTTATTATTTGGGCCAAAAGCTTAATTGTCACGAGTGTGCATAATAGGAAGCATATATTGAAGAAATTCTATAAGAACTACATCTACAAATCATATTGTATGTTAAAAGTCAGTGCATGAATGCAGGGTCGGAAGAAGTTAATTTATAATCATATATGGAGAATTCCATACCTTTTTAGATTCCGCATAGACCCCCATGCCCGCAACATAGAAAGGAACCTCTCGGCAAAGAGTGGCACCGGTCCCGCGGAAAAAACCCTTAAGACCATCTTGATGCCAAGTACCAAGTATTGCCTCTCCTGCATTATCAAAAAGGCCCGCTTGCAACCGTTGCTTTAATACCTCACACGGTATCCGCACTGCTGTTCCCAGGAAAGTGCTGCAGAATGATGCTATAGATTGCACCTAAGTAGCATCCCAATACAAAATAAATTCCTTTAGTTCTTCAAAACAGTATCAAAATATAGGAGATTCAAAAATACACATCTTCTAATTTCAAAGTCATGTTCACCACCAATGTATGCCACAATTCTTCAAATTCAAGTGTCAACATGTAGACAAACAGAGATTCCGCTCACAATCTACATGGGTGTAAATGCTACACATACAACCTTGTGAACAAATTCCTAAAGCCTATATTTAAGCGGTTTTAGAAAGATGAAAAATTAAATGGTTTGGGGCTACATTTGCATCCCCTAACCATCCCAAAGATGGGTGAGGTCGATCCATGATTTTGAAGCCCAGACCCAGCCCGGAACCATCCAGCCTCCTGATCCTAAACAAATAGGATATTGGGCTTTAATATAGGGCCTTATCAGATAGGGTTTAGCTTGTCAATTGGGCTGAATTAGAGCTGCAATCAGGCTGAATTTCAGGTCAATAACAGACCTTAATTGTGCGTAACTCAGCACAAACACATATACAAATTAATTACGGAGTATTAGTTTTTGACATATAGTACATATATATATGAATAGCAATACTTATATACTACCAAGTATACATATTACTATTAAGTATTAACTAATACTTAACTACTAAAGTACTAAGTATATATATAATACTACTAAGTACTTGTATAATATTTTACTAAGTAATTTAACCAATATATATATATATACTTTACGAAGAATTTTATCAATATACTTGGTAGTTAAATTATTGTATTTAGTTTAATACACTTATTATAAGTCGTCATTGGGCAAAAATCGTGTGAAGTTTATCAGATATGTCGTGCCAGGCTGGCAGGCCATCAGACCATGCAGAGCTTCAAAAATCACCCCATGGGCAGGGCCAAGTTTTGGCACTCCGACCTTTACGGATGCTTAGCATCACCATTGTCTGACTTTCAGCAAGAGCCCTTTTCAAAAAGATGGTAATATTGGTCAGCCAGCATCTCAAAGATGTACAGAAGCTTGTATAAAGATGTGCATCAGGCTATGGTGTAACTAAAACAATATACCAGGAGAAACATTCTATAAGATAAACAATGGTAGTCAAATACCCACCTATAGACGAAAAAAATTGGGCAACCAACAAAGTACAATAGTGAAAGAAATTAAACTGGGATCAGAATAATGACATGGAATAGAATTTAGAGTTTAGAAGAAACACCATGATCACTATCCTGACCAGAAATAATCAAAGTGAGTAACAAATTGGGGATAAAGGGAACAAATAGGTGACCAGGGTATGCTGATTTCATATGTCTGGACATGTATAAGATAAAAATAATTATGATATTATACATTACCTGTATATCTGGAAGTGTTGGAGCAACATTTATCAACACAAGCTTACTTGCTTCAAAAATTCCAGTTCGCAAGCCATGGCTGCAATGCAGGACATATTAGCAAGAAAATAAAGAATACCACCAAGCAAAACTGAAAAGGAGGGAAATGAGTAAAAAATAACCTTGAAAATTGTCCAAGAATTGCTGGGATGGAGCCTCTATACAATCCACGGGCTCCAATTTGTGGAAGCTTTGACACGATTTCTGGAAAGGTAAGTGTTGATGCTTGTACTCGAGTCTGACATACCAATAAACCATCGTCAGATGGCTTCATGGAAGAATAATAAAAGATGCAAGGCTACCTAAGACCAACAGCTCAACATTTTTTTTCCCCTCTTTCTTCTTATTTACTTAGATTATAATTTATTCCCTAGTCACCTATTTGCACCCTCTATTACCAATTTTTTCCCCTCTTTCAGATGGCTTCATAGAACTCTTGCAGGTTGACTTTAATACTCCAGAAAGACCCTTCTTCACCTAATACGCACAGCATACATCTGGCAAGACAGAATTTTAGACAACCCAAGATTTGTTTTTTCCTCTTGAAAGCAATGTGTATCTCCTGATGATATAAGAGATATTTAAACTGTAAATTGCTTAACCATTTTAGTGCAAGTGTACATGAAACTAGAAAGTTATTCACTAAAATGGAAGGCCAAGACCAAAAATCCAATATAGAATAGTCTCCAAATTTGTGATACGTGAGAAAACAAGCAAGCCAAAATAGTTCATAGAGCAAGCCAAAATAGTTCATAGTCCTATAATATTAATCCTGGCCTCTATGTAGTCAAAGTATCAGAATAATGAACAGAAGTCATTATGACAAAACCAATGCATTATCAGAGGTTATAAATGATGTTTTCTTAAGACACTCTTAATTCAGCATAAGTGCTATGAACCACAGCTAGTGCATGTTCATCATGAGATCTTTGGCACTCCGAAGATTCTTATGATTCATTAACACAGAACAATTAGGAAATGAAGGCAGGTATATCAGAAACATTGATGTCATCATCATTGTTTCATATATATGGCATATTTTATTTTAATAATTGTAAGTTAAATACAGAATTACTAAAGAAGGTGCACTATCATTACCAATGGAAGGCTACACATTGATGTTATCATCATGCGGTTTCCTCTATTGGCATATCTAAATTGAGTAAAAATGTAAGCAATACATGATTGCATAAATATTAAGCTGAAAACTGTGCCTTTATTGTATCAATGGGGTACATTAACGAAGTTGACAGTGCACTTGAAAGACCCCCTGCCAATGCAGATTTCAGAACACTTCCAGTGGGTATCTCCACAGGCGGTGCAACAGCAACAACGGTAGCAGCTTCAAACCAGATACTCCTGTATGTTTTACAAAAGTTACTACCAGTGATAAATTACCTTGCAGGTTGGTATTTATCCTCCATGAAAAAAGGTCAAAGTACAGAATTTTGATGTCTCAAAAAGCAGCAAAAAATAAAATTTATCTGATGTGCCTGCATGTGCGTGCACACGCGCACACACAATAGATCTAAAACTCGTAGGTGCTCAAGTGTGTGCCCATTTTTCACTCCAAAGTTAGTACACCAAATAGTAATTATTTAACTCGCACATAGACACAGGCGCGCTTCTTATCAAATAGTAATTGTTCCATTTACATTATTCTAATAGGTTATTTAGGACAAAACCATCTCTAAAACGATGCTTAGTCCATCCATCGTATGTGTACTACTAGCATTCTTTCATTATTACTCACATCTGCATATGTAATGTAAAAGCCACCAACTTTTGGTGTAACCTATCTCAGAGTTTCTGTCTAAAAAAGGAATGAAAGTCTGACAATAGTCTATGCCGTTCTGTTGAATCACTGATAATAGCTACCAATGGCTCCCTAATTTAAACAAGTGATTACTTTCACAATAAACTTATGCATCAACCACTTGAATATAATGAAAATGGCTTAAAATTTAACAAAAAAGTCTAAGAAAATCTCCAAGTACCAGAACAGAGTAATGAATAATTCAGAACTTCTGCACATAAAACTTTTTCTCGGGGTGTTGTAATCTTATTATGAATTAATTTTTTTCTTAAATATATATTAGCCCTAATCAAACTACAGATTTCATACCACTGGGCCATTAGCCAAGCTAAACTCTCCTCCCTCAAAGGGGAGGTGAGGAGTTTGAGCCCCAATGTGGGCATTTGTGGGAATTTCATATTTTTATGCTTCTACTTGAACTAAAAGCAAGTCAACAACAGGTTAATTCTGAACTTCTATTTTAACATAACGCTATTCAAAAATAATAATAATCATATTACCGAGGGTCTTCTTGAAGTCGATCAGATGGGAGCAGAAGCATAAAATTCCGGAAATGTCCATAAGATATAGATTCTTCTGTGTCTACATTCAGAAACCGCATCATGGCAACAGCATTGTCCTCATTTGCTGGAAGTCCTGCATTTTTTAATGACGCCAAGATTTCACTCTTCTGCAGTGTCCCAGACTTGCTCAAACAGAGAGTAGTATAAGCTCGAAGAATGGTTGGTTCCTTTTGTTCCATCAAAGACAAGAACTGTTTCCAACCAAATGATTTTGAAAACAAGTGACTTCTAGTACGGCTCATAAATTCACGAGCATATCTCCGAGGCAATTTTCTATTTCTCATAGCGACTTCAAGATCTTCCAAATTAACTTGTCCGTCACCATCTCTATCCAGCTCCTCAAAAAACCTTCTTCCTGTAAAATACAAGGGTCAAAATTGGAAACAAATTTTCACAAAACATGAAAATAACTGAAAGCCCATCTGCAAATAACCAAAACGGGCACAGAAAATAATCTAGGATAGTGGATCGTATAATAATATAATTAGCAAAAAGAACATAGTTATGCAGGAAGCAATGAAAAAGACACATAAATTGCATATGACTTTATTGATGATACGCTTACTCACCTCAACTGTTGATGTGGCAAGCAACAAAGGATTGCATGATCCAGAACTGTAAGGGCTTGTGCACCAAATGCAAACTCAAAAATGTAATAAAAATTTAAAAGGAAGTTTCCAGGTTGTTTCTCTTTTCAATCCTAAAATATTTTGAACCTAAAATATGTTGCCGACACGAAAAATTTTCAAATCGCCAACACCAAAGTTCATTCCAATCCTCATGTCTTGATCACATCTTTCACCTATTATCGGCAAAACCTTATCCATGGGATCACTAAACGATGATGGAGCAAAGGTTCCAGTGAATTATGCTCCCATCAACGGTACATCCACCTTTAAGCAAGTGATTCTGAAACATCTTCAACATCTTCTCCCCCACTTTAATTCCAAACCCTGCTCTCTGTATTGTTATGGGATAGAGCATTTTCTCAATTTGAAAATGGTTTCAGGGTGGGTTCTTGACCTTCACCTTTTCTTTAAATATCAAAGAAGACAACATGTTCCAATTAAAGATTTTCCCCATCCTGTCGGGATATTCACTATCATAACCCGCCATAGCTCATTTTGAAGTGAGTTTTCTTTCCCCTTCAGTATTCAGCATTATGTTAGTCTGCTATTGTTTAATAGGCTCCAATATTCAAGGACTTCTAAGTTTATCCCTCTCAAATGATAGTTGGAACTGATTCGAGCCTAGTTGTATTTTCAGTTATAATCCTTCAAATCAATTTTACATATAAAAGGAAAATTGAAGTTAGAATAGCTGCCTGTCGTTATACACTAATTGTTTACCTAGGGACCTCTGGGCATGGTTTATGCCATCCTCAATTTAGTTGTTCTTGGATAGCTAGTCTGACTTATTAAAAATAAAGTTAAAGTTGGAATAGCTGGGGACCTCCAGGCGTGGTTTATGCCATGATCAGTATAGGTGTTATTGGATCTCTTGTCTAGACTCAACTACAGGACAACCCGAAACGGAGAGCGTTCCCCCCTTTTCCGCCCACTTCTTTAATCAGATATGAAGCATCTTAGTCTATTCCATACCCTTTTCGCATTCTTACATGTGTAGGTCTTCCAAAATTGGACTCGTGGTAATGGTTATACTCATAAGAAATCAGTGAAACTAAGGTTTTTGATATTTATCACTAGTAGTAAAATTTCAAGCGTCCACCTCTACTCACAGATAAAAAGGCCAGAAGAGTACTCATTATTTCACTAGGACCATAAGGAATGAGTTGGAAAGATATGTAAGATTTGCAAAGTTGTTAAGTAGGTAAGGTGTGAATATGATAACGGATAGATTACTATTTCTGGTTTTTGGTAAAATAAAGCTAAAGAGCAAAAGAAAAGCAATACAAGAATTTCGACAAACATCAAAAATAAAATGAGAAAGGATATAGGTTGGGATGCTAACGTTACCCTTGAAGATCTTCAAGAATTTATGCCTATTTTTCAATTATCATTTTGTTTATAAACATAACCTAAGAAAAAGGGTAGTGTCAATGCCTTCCATTTTCTATGCTATTTAACATATAAATTTCATTTTCTTTTAATGAAAATGAATATAAAATCAAGCAAATTTATAGAAAGTAAAGAGCGTAAGAGCAACTCAACTAACACAAAGAATCTGAAAAATCCATATTCTTTTTATCTTGGGTCACACGAATTTTAAAATTTAGCTGTGAAAGTATATATAAAGAAAATTGCTTTAAATTCCATCCATTTGAAGAATAAAACGATTTGATAATCATTTTTCCTCCCAATTAGGTAGTATTGAGTTGATATCTATACCGATTTGTGAGTGCTACTGGTACCCTGCTGATATATAGCCAGTTAGTACCATAAGAGGACTACGAAAGCATCTATCCTTCCCTTGATTAATGGCGTTCCCCTCCTCTAGGGTTACAGGTCTTCCATGATTTTATAAGTCCAATATTTAGGACCCAAAATATGTTCCTGATTATAATGTTTCAATGGACAGATTCTATTGGTTAATTTGTTAATATTTTTCACTATCAAAGATCATTCTTAAGATATTAAATAAACTCCCTTTCTTATCATTCTTTTCAGTTTTTGTTCACTTGCGATCTTCCAACTGGTTGATTGCACAGGAATTTTCCTACTAAAAATTACATTTTCTTGTACTTGGTAGGCTTCAAACAATTATATTAAACAGCAATAGTAATTAACATTAGAGTCTAACCCAAAAATGAACTGCTCATTTTCTAAATTTAGAAAGATAAAAAAAAAAAAAAATCACAAACAATGACGTCAGTGCTTTGATTTTGATACTTAGAGTCTTAATAATTATTTTCCACCTTCTAATACATTTTTACTTATCAAAAAAATAAAAAAATAAATAAAAATTATTTTCCACCTCCATATATTACCAGGGATTCTTCCTAGAAGAATTTATACGACATAAAGTGGGATGCGACTATGTGAGAAGGGATATGTTAAAATATCTAGTTTATATTTCAAAAAATCTCACAAAATGACATTTGCAGCAAGCCTCAATGGAAATAAAATCATAAAATAATGACCATTAACAATAATGATAACAAAATAAAATCTCACATTAAATGATTTCATCAGAAATCACAGTGATGTCAATTGTCCACGGCTATAGGAACATAAGAGAAGGATGAAAAAGAAGAGGAAAGTATGGATAATTACTGTTTCCCGTATCCCCAGGAAGAGGCAGAATAAAAGAAAAGAAAAAGTCACCGGATAGAAATTCGGAAGGGACTCCAGCCCAAAAAATGCGTGAGGAATGAGAGGCATTTAGCCAGGTCAGGTGATGAAGGCTTCTCCACTAGACGGGGTAGAAAAATCAGGAAATTGTAAAAGTGAGTTGCTGGTTTGTCGTCATTAGACCTCTGCTGTCAAAATTAAGGCAGGATACAGCAATTGAAAGGCAGGTTGCTATCACTAGCTACGTTGACAGAGAATCTAGGGCTCTAGCGGTGACGCACACCTTTTGGATACAAAGGAATTCATAAAATATATAGAATGTATTTGGTGATGAGAGACTGACAAAAAAAACACTCTGAAAAATAAGAATCAATGGTGTCATCTCAAGTTTTATCTGGTTCATCGATGGGACCTTTTGGAAACGGAAATGTCGTTCCGCAGGTGAGAAAAGAAAAACTATATGTTCAATAGAAACAGGGGCCACAACTTTGAGGGGCATATTTTTGGATCCCTGTGACCCCTCTATGCTTGTTTCATGCTTTTGTGGAAATTTTCTACTTATGTTCTTTTCTATCATTTACAAGAAACCCCTTTATTCTCTGGTTCCTCGACAATTGTTTTTTTTTTTTTTTTTCAAATAGAAGTCTGAATATGTTCAACTAAGTGAACGCTTAATAATATCCATGATCCTAATTTTGTTGACTCGCAAGTTGCAAGTACCAAGGAAAATATATTTATATATATATTGAATAGCTAAAACAAAAACTAAGATGAAAAACAAACATCAACAAGATAATGGGCCGGGTAACTGCTAGAGCTGTAATGACACTGCAACAACCATCAAGAATACCCAATTGGACACCATCATCTAAGAAAGCCAGGATGTTGCCAAAAAACCCACATCAACAACCCTACGGTCCCTACCACCCCAGGTTCAGATAATACAACATCCATACAACTACATATCAAGTCTTTCTAAAATATAAACATTAAGTGTTTCAGCAGTCCAAATGTACAGTTTTCAAAGGAATTCCATAGTACCACTGGGATACCTTTAACAGTATCATAACCATGTTCAGCAAGTACTATGAATATGTGCCAAACTAGAAATGTTTTCAGTCTGCTGGCTATCATTGTGGTTTTTCCATTGCCATCAAGTCCACCAGAACCATAGAAATCCATTGTTCTGTTCCCTTTTTTTCCTTTTCATGTTATATACCACGAAGCCATGAATGCCATATATTTAACGTGAACATGCATATGGTTTTGCGAAGCACCAAACAAAATTTATATATCCAAATTACGAAAGACCAAAAATGGATCGCGACATGCCAAAACTAACAATAATGAAAGTGACAGAGACTTTCCAGATCTGGCAACAATGGCATAGCAGTTAATAATATGTTAGACACAACCATTAGTGTTAAATATACAGATAAACGTGCATTCAATTTCTATAATTGATACAACTCCATATTCAATTGCATTCCTTAATCTTATCCTTCCCTCCAGCTGTAATATAACCTGTACAGTATTTAATATTCTGTCACAAAGTACAATATAATGACATAGAATTACTCAATGACTATGCGAATAACAACGTTAGATCTAACAAAAAAATTTAAACGGCATGCAACCCTACTGGGCCAACTACATTTAAGCAAGGTTTAATTACCAAGCTACTTGAGAGACATACCTTCAGACTCGGTGTATCTGAAAAAATCCTGAACAGAGAACAGCTTCTTCTTGTCAGGGTAGTCTTTGGTAGATCGCCCTAATTGAGCTACAAGTTCAATTAGTTCTGTCAATGAAACAGTTGACAATGTGGATCTCAAACGCTCGACATTTGATAATGGAATACTAAATAACCCATTGGCCAGCTTCTTAGGAGGAGAATTAACAACAGCTTCTTCTCTGTCGCCGGCAGCAACACTATCATCACCCTCTGGGGCCTCTTCTTTAACAGAAGAAGCTACTCCCACAATACTTGGCGGCACGCCTCCCACTCTTGCAAAACTCAAATTTCCCAGAAAGATATTCACATCCATGTTTTTACCTTCCCAAATACTACTAACTGCCTTCAAATGATCGAACTGATGGGTAGGAGGAGGAGGAGATGGATGACAACTCTTGCATTCCCTTTCTTGGACACCAAAATCAAGCTTCTGAAAATTTTGAACTATTTGATCAAAAACAAAACCTATAAAGCATTCAATTGACATATTTTTCCCTTGTTCCTGCTTTCCACCCTCATTTTGAAATGGAGTGACGAGAAGACCCCTCGATTTCTTTTGCTTTATTTCACGTGAAATCTTCGGTTTGGATGCATTTGAATTCATACAAACTTTGTCTTCAATACCTGCTTTCTGAAACCGCTTTTTACTGGTTTTAAATGGACTCGGAAAAGCCTGAACGAATCCATTAAGCAACACCGACCAGGTCACAGCAAACTGTATGCAGTTCATGCAAGTTGCATCCTCACAGCCAACATCCCTTTCTTTCAAACCCTTCTTTGATGTGTCAACCTTATGTCCATTATTCCCACAATTTTGCGAGAAAAATCCCAAGAAGTTCTTAATTGGAACCTTAATTGACAAACCCTTCGTTCTCTCATCATTAACCACACACAGATTACCTTTTTTCTTCAAAGAACAAGTCTGCACCTTATTACTATACTTTCTACCACTGCCATTCAATTGTGTGGTAAAAAGTTCAAGATTCCTGGCCCCATTCTTAGAACCTGACCAACAGTGCTCAAAATCTTTCGCAGCTTTCCGGATACCAGATTCAAGCGGCGAAAATGTATCCTTGACAACTTGAAGTGAATTAAAGAGGGATTCCAAAGGGTCATTGGCAGACATCATCACTAACTACAAACCTAGAATCAGGGTCAATAACTTCTATATGCATTCATTCGCAAAAATCATCACTAAAACCCTCGAATCTAGATTGAGTTCCAGATATACCTATATATGTACCAAACTCAACAACTCTTAGACAGTTCTCGCCCAAACAGATCAACACAAATTCATGAAACGTAAAGCTCTTCAATCAGCTAAACACAGCAATCAAACTGAACCATACGGTCTTAAACACCAAGAGTGAGATCTAATTAGTGAAAATTAACAAGAAAAAAAACCCAAAAATCGATTCTGAAACCGCTAAAATTAGCAGAAAAAATAAAAACTAACGGTATGGACACAAAATCAAAAACATGCCGTCCGTACAAGGAGTCAGAGCAATTGAATACTTGAACTTGGGATTGCAGAATGGAAATGAAAGCTGCAGTGTACTTACATGTGTGTGTATATATATATGTGTGTATTTGTGTGTGTGTATATAGATTGTAATCTGAAATGAGTATAGATTGATTTGTAGATAGTCTGACCTGATTTGGTAGATTTAGAAGAAGATATAGAGATGATTTTGGCTGCTAAATTTGGAGGAAATTTTAGACAAATCTGAGGAATCCGAGAGATGTGGTTCCTAAAGAGAAGAGAAGAACAACCAGAAGAAGAAGAGGTTCTCTTGGATTATTTCTTTGTGTACTTATATTTTTTAAAAATAATTATTTTCCCTTTCTGTTTAGGAAAAATACAAAATCATTTTGTTTTTATTTCGATAATAAAAATTTGTATATGTATATACAAGTATATATCACGTATTCATGTCTCTGTAAATTCACTTTAACAATTTTTAAATAAATTAAATTACAAAATTATACTTAAAATTTGAAGTGTATAAGTAGTTTCGCAAATAATTACTACGTATAAGGTTTGATTGCTTTTTTAAAAGTTTATGTAATTCAATTTTGGCTTTGATTTAACTTATGAAAATTAAGTTTTAGGGACATTTGCATAATTTACATTTTAAAAAAAATATATTTGAGCAAGAAAATAGTATAAATGCTAGGGATGTCAATTTTTACCGCCCAGCAGAGGCCCGCCCCGTCCTGCCCCATTAATAACGGATATGAGAACACTTTTTATACCGTTAGAGCGGGCATGGATACAAATTTTGTACCTGTAGTGGATCACCGGGCGGATAAGGGTTCAGTATATATATCCTAGGGGTCCCGCCCAGCCCCGCATATAATTATATTTAATATATATGTATATATATAATATTAATAACTTATTTTAGCGGCTTACCCAATTACTCATCTCTTACAATCCTAATTTGGGATGTAAATTTAGTATTAAATTTGTTTTTTTTTTAGTTATGGTGGAAGTTGGAGTTTAGAAGTTCTTGTGATTTGGTTGTATTAAACTTTTATTTTTGTTTATTATGTTCTCTAAATATGTGCATGTTATTTATTTTTTTTTTATTGGGATACATAATTTCATTTATATTGTGCCATTTTTTGGCTTTCCACATTTAAATAGCAGGAGCTTAAGTTCCAAAAAGTGAGAGAAAAATTTGATAGCGGGGCGGGTACGGGGCATAGTATTTCCCAACGGGGCGGGACTGGACATGATAATCCAACCAGTCGCGAGTCTCAGGGCTGGCATAGACTTGACATAAATTAAAAAGGGCGGGGTGAAATTTAGGGAAACCTACTCCAAACCCGCCCGGTTACCATCCCTAATAAATGCCAAATTAAAATATGATAAAAGCACTCTTTTTTAACTGAAAATTGACATTATTGATTTTTTATTGAGTTTATGTTAATTAAATATAAAGGGTGTTTTTTTTTTCACGTACCATTCAAATCAGTAGTACGATTCCAAAGTAATGTTTCAAGGATTTACGATTCCAAAGTAATGTTTCAAGGATTTATCTTCCGAATTTTTGCCAACACCGTTATGCCTATAGGAACAATATAAAAGGTATTTATAAGTGTGCATTTCTCATTTTTTATACAAAGTTTTTATATTATGTATATACATATATTTATGTATATGTATGTATATTGGTGTGTATATATATATATATATATATTCTATACATAAGCACAAAGATGAGTGGATAGGGCCGACACGGGGTCTAGTAGGACGGAGCGACACTTAGGGCTGATCGTCTGAGCTGTTTAGACACGGCTTGCTCTGTCAGTTAAGTGCATTAATCACATCTAATCCAATCCAATGTCTATCTATCCACATCGTTCTATTTTGTTTATTAAATGAACACAATCCCTAAAAGACTTTCTTCTAAAATGCTACAAATCCGTTGTTTTTTCTATTGGAATTTGATATTTGGTGACTTTGCAAAATGGTAAATATTTATTTATTTAGTTCTGCTGATTAAAATATATTTTTTAAAAATACCTTAATTTCCCTGCCATGACTTTATACCTCTAAATAATTGGTACAATATTCTAATTTTTTTCTTTTTACGAAGAACCAAACCGAAAGTTCGAATCTGCAAGAACAAGTGAAAATTTTGATTTATAAAGTTGGAACGAATAGAGAGTTCGAATTTCATAAGAATAAAATTCGATGTGAGTTTCTTATCAAATGAAGAAAAATAAATTTTTTTTTTTATAAATTCTATCATATTGAATGAAATCTTAATTCCAATAGAAAGTTGAATATTTGCATGTTATTTCTTCTTTTTATAATATGGGATGCACATTAATTAGCTAATCGTGTTCTAAATCCACTTATTTGTATATATGAGGACTTAATTTGGCCTTCTATTTTGAAAGATGAAAAAATAAGATTAGGATCCCCTGTTATAATAGGTCTTATTGTACCCATATAAAAAAATAACGTAGACATGACAAACGATATTTTATAATTTTTATCATATATAATCTCTTTCGCGAGCCAAACAAAACCAATGAAATGGACACCCTCCCTTATCTTGTAAACTCTCTTCTATCCTTCCTTTTACCCCTTCCCTCAAAATTTTAATCTATTTTTACCAAACAAAACACCAACCTTAACATTCAAAACAAGCAACAAAGTATTAATATATGCAATAAATTTTTTCCATGAAAAAACATATGCAACAATAATGTATCATATAATGCAAAATAAATACTTTCTCAAAACTAAGATTTTATGCGAATAAAGTAAAAGAATAATTTGATTATTATCTTTATGATTTTATTTTGTTTTGTATATTTAATAATACTTTTTTTTAATGACTTTAAATATATATATTACCAAAGTGACAAAATAGAATAGAAAATGAAAAGACAAAAGGACAATAGAACGCAACTACCAAGAAGAAGAGAGAGAGAGAGAATCCGACGGTTGCATATGTGAACTATTAGTGGTTCAAAAAAGGCTGACATGTAGCACTCATTTGGCATCATTTACTGACATGTGTCTGGTGACCCCGTAACTTTATCCCGTAAAATGCGTTGACGTGACACCATCGTGGCACTGCTCTTGTCCGTTGGATTAAAACAATCATCATGGAGATTTGTTCCCATATGGTGATTTTGACAACCAAAAATAAAGAAGAGAGAGAAGGAAATTTTTTTTAAAAATTGAAGATTTACCAGCTTTATCAGGGTTGCAACCCACCCGTTGAGCGGGTTTAGGGTATAAATTAAGTCCACCGAAATGATAAATTCAAGTTCAACTCTAATTTTATTTTTAATTTTAAGTACTTAACTTAAGTCCATCTCATCCTTTTATTTTAAAATTCGGACTTACAATTCGAGTTTAAATTTCAGGTAAATTTTTTTGATTAATTCGGGTTACTCACATGTCTAATTTTTACATCGAAAATTTAATATGATCTTGAATTAGTTTTAAATTAAATTACTCTTCAACAAGAAAAAAAGTTTAAAGACATTTTGTAAATTTTTAATAAATTACAAATAAATTTTTAAAAAATTAATTCTCCTAAATTTTAACATACAATAAGTTAAAATTTAACAAAAACAAGTTGAAAAGGAAAAAAAGTAATCATATTTTAAATATTATATATAATATATTTAAAAGTAAAAATATATATGAAAATAATATTAGAATTCGGGTTCGAATTAGAGTTTGGGTTGCTAGCACTTCAACCCAAATCCAACCCTAATTAAATTCTAATTTAGATTTTTCAACCCAAACCCAACCCTAATTATAAAAATGATTGTCTAAGCCCATAAAAAATCCAGCTGGGCTCGGATTGAGTTCGGGTTATCTTGCACCCTACTTTATCGGTCACCCAACAAAATGAAATATCACCTTATTATATTTTGTTAAAATGATTGAGCAAAACAAAATAATTTTTTTTTTATGGTTTTCAAATCTTATAAATAAGTCGAGTCGAGTTTTTCAAATCTTATCTTATTTAAATCGGTTCGTGTTTATTTAAATAAATAGAGCTTAAGTAAAATTTTAAATATTAATTATTAGACGAAGCAAGCGTAAACAACCTCCGACCTTCAGTTCCGCTCTTTTGAGCTCGGATATATAAAAATTTAAAATATGCTAAGAAGACTTATTAACAATTAAACTTCTCATTACATTTTATAAACAAAATTCTAAGCCCAGCCCAGACCAACTTAACTTTTTCTTTTTTCTCTAACGCAGACCAACGCATAAGCCCAAGGCCCAAACTTAATAGGCCCTCAAGCCTAGTAGGCACAAGACAAAAGACAAACAAAAAGAAAGGATCGTAATGACCCAATACAAGCAAAACCCAAACACTACTTTTGAAACAAAAACTGGGTTAGTAATAAACCATGGCCGATCAACTTAACTTATACATCATTCCTTTTGAAAATAATATAGGCCTAAATATATTATGCCGCGTGCTGTCTCTCTCACACACACAAATGCTGGATAATTGAGCCGGGATTGGCCATGATTTCTTCTAATCTCTCTCGCTTTAGGCTCGTGACCTGCTTACTGGTGTGCAAAGAATTTATTTACGAATTAAATCTTAATTTTTTTCTTCATTTACTCTCTCACTGGATTTGTCCAGGGTAAAAAAGTTGACTTGGCGGTTGTGTTAAATTCATATTTACCATAATTGACTTTTACTTCATATTACAGTTGGCTGAAATTTGAACATCCCAAAAGAAAGAACAAATAATTGACTTTTACTTCATATTGCAGTTGGCTGAAATTTGAACATCCCGGAAAAAAAGAACAAAAACTCTAAAAAAATAAAAACCCAGGAAAATGACCCAAACAGAAGAACTACAAAAAAATGATACATATTAGTACATGATTGTCTTGATTTCCTTGACACATATTTGTGTATATAGATAAGGAGAGATGTGGAAAAGAAAATAAATAAATAAATAAGGGGAAGAACACGAAATCGTAATAGCGAAAAAAAAAAAAAAAAAAAACTTAGACACCTTTTTTATTTTTTTACCATGTAATAAAACGTGCATGCATAAGTAACTCACCATTGAGGTCTAATTGACCCCAAGTTCGGGGAACAGAGAATCCTAGTTCGGCACATGTATCTTGGTAAGAAAATTCCAAGTTTCTTCTTGAGACAAAGAAGAACCGACTTCTCCGCTCCGAATTAGATTTGGATAGTCCCTCAATTAAGGGACACGCACATCGGTTGGTCAAGTTCCACCACCATCGATCTACCATCTTTGGGATATAACAAAGCAAGACCTC